TTGTTCTTGCAATTTTGCAGATGCTAGGCTCTTGTTCTTGAATTTTTGCAGACGCTAGGCCCTTGTTCTTAAATTTTGCAGGCGCCAGGCCCTTGTTCTTGAATTTTTGCAGATGCTAGGCCCTTGTTCTTGAATTTTTGCAGACACTAGGCCCTTGTTCTTGAATTTTTGCACTCGCTAGGCCCTTGTTCTTGAATTTTTGCAGACGCTAGGCCCTTGTTCTTGAATTTTTGCAGACGCTAGGCCCTTGTTCTTGCAATTTTGCAGACGCTAGGCCCTTGTTCTTGCATTTTTGCAGACGCTAGGCCCTTGTTCTTGCAATTTTGCATACGCTAGGCCCTTGTTCTTGAATTTTTGCAGACGCCAGGCCCTTGTTCTTGAATTTTTGCAGACGCTAGGCCCTTTTTCTTGAATTTTTGCAGATGCTAGGCCCTTGTTCTTGAATTTTTGCAGATGCTAGGCCCTTGTTTTTGGAATTTTGGAGACGCTAGGCCCTTGTTCTTGAATTTCTGCAGACGCTAGGCCCTTGTTCTTGCAATTTTGCAAACGCTAGGCCCTTGTTCTTGCAATTTTGCAGACGCTATGCCCTTGTTCTTGCAATTTTGCACTCGCTAGGCCCTTCAATTTTTGCAGACGCTAGGCCCTTGTTCTTGATTTTTTGCACTCGCTAGGCCCTTGTTCTTGAATTTATGCAGACGCTAGGCCCTTGTTCTTGCAATTTTTCAGACGCTAGGCCCTTGTTCTTGCAATTTTTCAGACGCTAGGCCCTTGTTCTTGCAATTTTGCAGACGCTAGGCCCTTGTTCTTGAATTTTGCAGACGCTAGGCCCTTGTTCTTGAATTTTTGCAGATGCTAGGCCCTTGTTGTTGCAATTTTGCAGACGCTAGGTCCTTGTTCTTGCAATTTTGCAGACGCTATGCCCTTGTTCTTGCAATTTTGCACTCGCTAGGCCCTTAAATTTTTGCAGACGCTAGGCCCTTGTTCTTGCAATTTACAGACGCTAGGCCCTTGTTCTTGAATTTTTGCAGATGCTAGGCCCTTGTTTTTGGAATTTTGGAGACGCTAGGCCCTTGTTCTTGAATTTTTGCAGACGCTAGGCCCTTGTTCTTGAATTTTTGCAGACGCTAGGCCCTTGTTCTTGGAATTTTGCAGATGCTAGGCCCTTGTTCTTGAATTTTTGCAGATGCTAGGCCCTTGTTGTTGCAATTTTGCAGATGCTAGGCCCTTGTTCTTGCAATTTTGCAGACGCTATGCCCTTGTTCTTGCAATTTTGCACTCGCTAGGCCCTTAAATTTTTGCTGACGCCAGGCCCTTGTTCTTGCAATTTTACAGACGCTAGGCCCTTGTTCTTGAATTTTTGCAGACGCTAGGCCCTTGTTCTTGCAATTTTGCGCACGCTAGGCCCTTGTTCTTGCAATTTTGCAGACGCTAGCCCTTGTTCGTGAATTTTTGCAGACGCTAGGCCCTTGTTCTTGAATTTTTGCAGACGCTAGGCCCTTGTTCTTGAATTTTTGCAGGCGCTAGGCCCTTGTTCTTGAATTTTTGCAGATGCTAGGCCCTTGTTCTTGAATTTTTGCAGACGCTAGGCCCTTGTTCTTGAATTTTTGCACTCGCTAGGCCCTTGTTCTTGAATTTTTGCAGATGCTAGGCCCTTGTTCTTGAATTTTTGCAGACGCTAGGCCCTTGTTCTTGAATTTTTGCAGATGCTAGGCCCTTGTTCTTGCAATTTTGCAGACGCTAGGCCCTTGTTCTTGAATTTTTGCAGATGCTAGGCCCTTATTCTTGCAATTTTGCAAACGCTAGGCCCTTGTTCTTGCAATTTTTTTGACGCTATGCCCTTGTTGTTGCATTTTTGCACTCGCTAGGCCCTTAAATTTTTGCACACGCTAGGCCCTTGTTCTTGCAATTTTGCAGACACTAGGCCCTTGTTCTTGCAATTTTGCAGACACTAGGCCCTTGTTCTTGAATTTTTGCAGATGCTAGGCCCTTGTTCTTGCAATTTTGCAGACGCTATGCCCTTGTTCTTGCAATTTTGCACTCGCTAGGCCCTTAAATTTTTGCAGACGCTAGGCCCTTGTTCTTGAATTTTTGCACTCGCTAGGCCCTTGTTCTTGAATTTTTGCATACGCTAGGCCCTTGTTCTTGCAATTTTTCAGACGCTAGGCCCTTGTTCTTGCAACTTTGCAGACGCTAGGCCCTTGTTCTTGCAATTTTTCAGACGCTAGGCCCTTGTTCTTGCAATTTTTCAGACGCTAGGCCCTTGTTCTTGCAATTTTGCAGATGCTAGGCCCTTGTTCTTGCAATTTTGCAGACGCTAGGCCCTTGTTCTTGAATTTTTGCAGATGCTAGGCCCTTGTTGTTGCAATTTTGCAAACGCTAGGCCCTTGTTCTTGCAATTTTGCAGACGCTATGCCCTTGTTCTTGCAATTTTGCACTCGCTAGGCCCTTGTTCTTGAATTTTTGCAGACGCTAGGTCCTTGTTCTTGCAATTTTGCAAACGCTAGGCCCTTGTTCTTGCAATTTTTTTAACGCTATGCCCTTATTGTTGCATTTTTGCACTCGCTAGGCCCTTAAATTTTTGCAGACGCTAGGCCCTTGTTCTTGCATTTTTGCAGATGCTAGGCCCTTGTTCTTACAATTTTGCAGACACTAGGCCCTTGTTCTTGAATTTTTGCAGATGCTAGGCCCTTGTTCTTGCAATTTTGCAGACGCTATGCCCTTGTTCTTGCAATTTTGCACTCGCTAGGCCCTTAAATTTTTGCAGACGCTAGGCCCTTGTTCTTGAATTTTTGCACTCGCTAGGCCCTTGTTCTTGAATTTTTGCATATGCTAGGCCCTTGTTCTTGCAATTTTTCAGACGCTAGGCCCTTGTTCTTGCAATTTTTCAGACGCTAGGCCCTTGTTCTTGCAATTTTTCAGACGCTAGGCCCTTGTTCTTGCAATTTTTCAGACGCTAGGCCCTTGTTCTTGCAATTTTGCAGATGCTAGGCCCTTGTTCTTGCAATTTTGCAGACGCTAGGCCCTTGTTCTTGAATTTTTGCAGATGCTAGGCCCTTGTTGTTGCAATTTTGCAAACGCTAGGCCCTTGTTCTTGCAATTTTGCAGACGCTATGCCCTTGTTCTTGCAATTTTGCACTCGCTAGGCCCTTGTTCTTGCATTTTTGCAGACGCTAGGCCCTTGTTCTTGCAATTTTGCAAACGCTAGGCCCTTGTTCTTAAATTTTTGCAGACGCAAGGCCCTTGTTCTTGCAATTTTGCAGACGCTATGCCCTTGTTGTTGCATTTTTTCAGACGCTAGGCCCTTAAATTTTTGCAGACGCTAGGCCCTTGTTCTTGCAATTTTCCAGACGCTAGGCCCTTGTTCTTGAATTTTTGCAGACGCTAGGCCCTTGTTCTTGCAATTTTGCGCACGCTAGGCCCTTGTTCTTGAATTTTTGCAAACGCTAGGCCCTTGTTCTTGAAATTTTGCAGACGCTAGGCCCTTGTTCTTGAATTTTTGCAGACGCTAGGCCCTTGTTCTTGAATTTTTGCAGACGCCAGGCCCTTGTTCTTGAATTTTTGCAGACGCTAGGCCCTTGTTCTTGAATTTTTGCAGACGCTAGGCCCTTATTCTTGAATTTTTGCAGACGCTAGGCCCTTGTTCTTGCAATTTTGCAAACGCTAGGCCCTTGTTCTTGCAATTTTGCAGACGCTATGCCCTTGTTCTTGCAATTTTGCACTCGCTAGGCCCTTAAATTTTTGCAGACGCTAGGCCCTTGTTATTGCAATTTTGCAGACGCTAGGCCCTTGTTCTTGAATTTTTGCAGACGCTAGGCCCTTGTTCTTGCAATTTTGCGCACGCTAGGCCCTTGTTCTTGAAATTTTGCAGACGCTAGGCCCTTGTTCTTGAAATTTTGCAGACGCTAGGCCCTTGTTCTTGAATTTTTGCAGACGCTAGGCCCTTGTTCTTGAATTTTTGCAGATGCTAGGCCCTTGTTCTTGAATTTTTGCAGATGCTAGGCCCTTGTTCTTGAATTTTTGCAGACGCTAGGCCCTTGTTCTTGAATTTTTGCAGATGCTAGGCCCTTGTTCTTGCAATTTTGCAGACGCTAGGCCCTTGTTCTTGCATTTTTGCAGACGCTAGGCCCTTGTTCTTGCAATTTTGCAGACGCTAGGCCCTTGTTCTTGCAATTTTGCAGACGCTAGGCCCTTGTTCTTGAATTTTTGCAGATGCTAGGCCCTTGTTCTTGCAATTTTGCAAACGCTAGGCCCTTGTTCTTACAATTTTGCAGACGCTAGGCCCTTGTTCTTGCATTTTTGCAGACGCTAGGCCCTTGTTCTTGCAATTTTCCAGACGCTAGGCCCTTGTTCTTGCAATTTTGCAGACGCTAGGCCCTTGTTCTTGAATTTTTGCAGATGCTAGGCCCTTGTTCTTGCAATTTTGCAAACGCTAGGCCCTTGTTCTTGCAATTTTGCAGACGCTATGCCCTTGTTGTTGCATGTTTGCACTCGCTAGGCCCTTAAATTTTTGCAGACGGTAGGCCCTTGTTCTTGCAATTTTACAGACGCTAGGCCCTTATTCTTGAATTTTTGCAGACGCTAGGCCCTTGTTCTTGCAATTTTGCGCAAGCTGGGCCCTTGTTCTTGAAATTTTGTAGACGCTAGGCCCTTGTTCTTGAAATTTTGCAGACGCTAGGCCCTAAAAATATTTTTAGGCTGTTGGTGGCAAGTTTGGTACACTGTCTTCTGTTGATTATATCACCTCGAAATGGCTCAGCTAGTCAGCAGGGTACCGGTAAGAGGTCTTTAACACTACTGATTTACACAGGGCAAACAAAAAGTGCACTTTTTTAATCAGGGTGGCAAAGCCTTTACAGTATGGAGGTGTCAGAGCAAACCCCAACAAGGGGCCAAAAATGGGTAAAATGGGTATTTTGCCCTTATTTTTTTTGGATAGTGGAATGCGAAAGGTCAAGACCACTGTGTACCCTACTCCTGACCCAGCTGCCAGCTAGGTACAGTCAATTCTGTGAGGACGCAGAGTATTCAAACAAAAGTCGTTTCTCAACGGAGGACAAGGATGAGAAGAGAAGACGCAAGCGGGAGTTGAGTTGGTATAGCAGTTTCCATTGGGTTGCCATCTCACTCTCGCGTAGCTGCCGCACCACAGATGCCTGGGGAAACCACAGAAAAGGTCATGTTTGAGGCAAAGGCTCGCTCATATGCACACATGCCCATGGTGTGCATCTGTTTAGGTGCAGTGGCAATCTATGCCATGGCGTGCCTGCAGGCATAAAGTGCTTAGCATGGCAGTGTGCATGTTTATGTATGAGCGATACATAGTAACACATGACACAGGTAGTGAGCGTTGGTATGATGCATGTCTTCAATGGTGCATATGTCCATGATGCATGTCAGAACGATGCATCTCAAGGTGGGATATGACCCAATTGTGCATGTCACACAATGCCACAAAAATGTTGACTTGATGACTCATGTCACTGTGATGTGTGTAGCAACGATGCATGTCACTATGATGTGTGTCGCAGTGATGCATGTCACAGTGATGCATTTCACAATGGCACAATGATGCAGGTCCCTTTGATGCTTGTCCCAGTGATGCGTGTCACAGTGATGCATGTCACAACAACAATGCGTGTCACTATGCCAGAACGATGCATTTCACATGCATGTAAGATCCATGTATCCCAGCCCACCCGTTGAGCACCTGAAGGTTGTTGCCGATTTGGATTTCCACCTCGGCGCCGAAGGAGAGGTTGGCGAGGGACTGGAAGGGGTCGGAGGTGGGGTCCAGCGAGAGCAGGTTCGGGATCTGCGGCGCGCTCACCAGGCGCCATCGCGCCTGCCCGAACTGCCCGCGGCTCTCGATCTTGGGCATGAGGGTCTCCACGGTGGCGGCCGCCAGCTTCTTGAGCGCCAGCTGGCCGTCCTTCTCCAGCAGCGACTCCGCCAGCTGGCTCTCAAACAGCCGCGCCGCCTCGGCGGGCGACAGCACGTCCTCCTCGCCGCCGCGCGGCAGCGTGGTGAGCACCACGTTGTCCTGCCAGCGGTTGGCCGGGCCCTGGATGCGCATCTGCCAGTCCGCCCCCACCAGCTTCAGGTCCAGCAGCGGGTCCATGCCCAGCGCCGCCTCAAAGCGCGCACAGTTGGGGTGGTCGCGGTTCAGCCGCAGCTGCACATGACACACGCGGCACGGGGGTATGGGCAGGTCCGGTGTGACAAGGGAGCATAGTGAGGCATGAGAAGGGAGGATGGCAAAGGGGCATGAGAAGGAAGAATGGCGGGGAGGCAGGAGAAGGGAGTGGGACATGGGTGGCAGGAGAGGGCGGTGGGACATGGGTAACAGGAGAGGGGGGTGGGACCTGGGTGGCAGGAGAGGGGGGTGGGACCTGGGTGGCAGGAGAGGGGGGTGGGACCTGGGTGGCAGGAGAGGGGGGTGGGACCTGGGTGGCAGGAGAGGGGGGTGGGACCTGGGTGGCAGGAGAGGGGGGTGGGACCTGGGTGGCAGGAGAGGGGGGTGGGACCTGGGTGGCAGGAGAGGGGGGTGGGACCTGGGTGGCAGGAGAGGGGGGTGGGACCTGGGTGGCAGGAGAGGGGGGTGGGACCTGGGTGGCAGGAGAGGGGGGTGGGACCTGGGTGGCAGGAGAGGGGGGTGGGACCTGGGTGGCAGGAGAGGGGGGTGGGACCTGGGTGGCAGGAGAGGGGGGTGGGACCTGGGTGGCAGGAGAGGGGGGTGGGACCTGGGTGGCAGGAGAGGGGGGTGGGACCTGGGTGGCAGGAGAGGGGGGTGGGACCTGGGTGGCAACGAGGTTGACTTCGCCGTTCTCGAAGAAGAGTGTGCCGGAGGGGCGCACGAGGCGTGGGTCGGCGAAGCCATTGAGGTGCAGGTCGCCGCGCGTGGCGAGGTTGAGGATGAGCGGGTACACCACGCGCAGCTCCGGCCCCAGCGCCACCTGCAGCCCCCGCAGCCGCACCAGCGCTGCCGGCGCCGATGGCGCAGACGCGAGGTCAGGGGGTGCTGGCAGCGGCACAGGCGGCACTGCTGTAGTGGCAGCAGAGGCGGCGGTGGCAGTGGTGGCAGATAGCGGCGATGACGTGCTCTCTGATGGCCGTGATGGCAGGAAGATATGTAGGGAGGGACGTGAAGAAGAACACAATGCATGGGAAAGTGGAGGAAGAGGGCACACATGACTGAGGGAAGTTAGTTGGGAACGAGCAAACAAGGCAGTGAAGCAAGTGAGGCAGGAGAGTGGCGTGTAGGCCAAAAGAGGACTGAGCCAGTCGGTTAAAATTGGTGCAGGGGATGGCGGAAGTGGAGGGAGTGGGAAGGGCGCACCTTGCTGTGGCGCTGACGCCGGCAGCTTCATGGCTGAAGACGATGCCGTGGAGGACATCGCCGGCAGCCAATCAGGTGCTGCTGACTTGCCAGGAGGGGCACTGGAGGGAGCAGCAGAGAGTGCAGGTGTCTTGCGGCGGTGGGAGGGCAGCAGCGAGGAGGGCACGGAGGGGGAGGGGGGGGTGTCGGCCCGGTCCTTCTCCTGCGACAGGTACGCGATGCCGCGTGACAGCCGGATGGCTCCTGTCACCTCAGGGGCGGCCAGGCTGCCCATCACACTCACGCCCGCATCCACCAGACCACTGCAACCACACACGCACACACAACACAATGGGGCACCGTCAGAGATCCGTTGCTGACAGGCACAGGTTCAAACTCCACACTGCAAACGCTGACACAAGAACAGTCCAGCAAAATTCCAGTGACAGACGGGTGAGGGCCCACCTGAACACATTGCGTGCTCGCACTTCAAGACCCTCTGCCGTGATGTTGATCCCCTCCCCACCCTTGCTGTCCTGTGCATGCTCACCCCCTTCCCTCCCACTCCCCCTCTTCCCCTTGCTTCCCCTCCTCAACCCGCCAAGTATCTCCTCCCCTTCCCCTTCCGCCCCCTCACCCCCCCCCTCGTGTGCGGGCAGGCCGAGGGGCAGAGAGCCCTCGACACGCAGGGTGCCGCGGCGCCCCACGCGCCCCTCGAGCCCGTCCACCAGCAGCTGCTGCGCTGCGATGCGGATGCGCCCCCCCCCGCCCGTGAGTGGGCGCGGCAGCACGGGGGACGACGCCGTCACACGGCTGAACACCGCCTCCGCCGCCACCTCTGGCCGCGCCACCGTGCCTCTCACCTGCCATCCGCACAGCACATAGAGAGAGAGGCGCAGGGAAGAGAGAGGCATGGGGAGAGACGTGTGGGTGCAGAATTATGACAAGTCAAAGCAAGAATGCTGAAGTCACTATAAGACTGGCCTGAGCAGAGATGGCGGCACACACCTGAGCAGAGATGGCAGCACACACCTGAGCAGAGATGGCGGCGTGGCCGTGGATCCAGCGGAAGGAGGGGGAGAGCGCGGTGAGCAGCATCATGCCAGCGTCCTGCACACTGGCCTCCACCTGCATCTGCTCCGCCTGCTCCTCGCCCTCAAACGCCCGCTCCAGCTCCACCAGGCTGCGCAGCAGCTCCGGCCCCTTCTGCGCACCCTCCCCCTCCCCTTCCCCCTCCTCCTCCTCTTCCTCCTCCTCCTCTTCCTCCTTCTTGACCTTCTCCTCAGCCTCGCCACCATCGCCACTCCCCGTGCCGTCGCTCCACAGCCCGCCCTCCTTGTCCAGCCAGTCCCAGTCATGCCACAGCCGGCTGCCCTCCCGCGCTGCACCGCCGCCTTCCTTCTTCTGTGTCGCATCCACACCCGCCTTCTGCTTCTTCTCGCCTGCCTTGCCCCTCCGCTTCTCCTGCATTCTGCCTCCACCAGAAACTACCATCCTCCCTCCTCCACCGCCCATGTCCCTGCCTGCGCCCTGCACCTCCTGCCCTGCCTGAGCCGCCTGCCCTGCATGCCCAGCCTGCAGCGGTGGCAGCGGCACGTTGCCCTTGATGCGCACCTGGCCGGCGTCCACTGCGGGCTCCAGCACCGCGTGGAAGAGCAGCCGCGACGCCCTCGTCAGCGACGCCGCCACCTCCGCCCGCCCCAGCGCCACCCCCGCTATCTCCCCGTCCAGCAGCCGCAGCTGCCACCGCAAGGGGGCGGGAGGGGAGGGGGGGGGGGGGAGGCAGCAGGGGAGTGAGACGAGCAGAGACCACTCAAGAAGGACGGACGAACAAGGCAGCAAGTGGAGCGGGAACATGCAGAGTGTGCGGTGGAGCACATGGCACCACGGTAGGCTAGGTGCAGCATTGGAGTGCGTGCACCCACCTGCACGTCGCACTGCGGCTGGGCGAAGGAGCCCGACAGGTCGCCCTCCACGTGCACCACGCCCCTCACTGCCGCCTGCTGCACGCCCACGGGGGGCGGGGGGGGGAACGGCGCACCAGAGGCAGCAGCAGCAGCGGAGGACTGGGAGGGTGCAGCGGCGTGGAGGGCTTGCAGGAAGGTGGGGACGAGGTGGGCGGGGAAGTTGAGCAGCGCGAAGTGCAGGCTGGGCGCGGGGCCAAACACAGTGCCGTCCGCATGCACCGTGGCACCGTCGTCCTTCTGCAGCAGCAGCCGCTCCACCTGCAGCCCCCCGTGTTGCTGTACCGCCCCCGCGCCTGCAGCTGCTGCAGGCGGTACCTGCCCGCCTCCCAGTCGCTGCCGTGCACGTCGAACGACGCCGACGTGTCGCCGTTGCCGCCCCCACTGGCCTCCAGCACCCCGTGCCAGCGACCCCGCAGGTCCACCAGCCCTGGCAGCGCCTCCGCTGCCAACCCCCCGCCCACGTCCGTGCCCGCTGGCTCCCACTCGCGCTCCCTCTTCTCCCGCACATACTGCTCCCACCCACCCACACAGCCGCAGCGCGGCAGGGAACAAGGTACGGATCAACGCGTGAGACGGGCGTCGACAGAGATGGAAGCGCGTGGTGGGTGGGGCACAGGTGTGATGGTGGGAGCGGGGTGAAGACAAGGAGTGGAGAGTAAGGAGTGGAGAGCACGGAGTGGAGGGAGAAGAACGCACAGCGACATGACAAGCAAAATCACCTCCGAAGCAGACAGGCGCTAGCCAGTTGAATGTGGGCGGGTGGGTGGCGGGCAGAGGGCGCACCTCGAGCTGGTGCTGCAGGGAGTGGGAGGAGAAGCCAACGTCCTCGATGCCGTGCAGGAAGAGCTCCTTGGAGCGCAGCAGCACGGCCGGGTCGTGGCTGCGCGACAGAATGCGCAGCCCCGGCAGCATCTCGCTCACGTCAGCGTGCGGCACGTCGAGGCGCAAGCGCCAGCGGCCGATGGACGTCATCATGGCCTGCAGCTGCCCCCGCATCGCCCCCTGCCGCCCGCCCCCGCCCCACTCCGTGTCCACGCCGCGCTCCGAGGCCGCGGCAGCCGCAGTGGCAGCAGCGTCGGGGGTGGGCGTGGAGGCTGAGTGGGAAGAGGTGGTTCTGTCCCTGTCGCGCTCCCTGTCCCACTCCCTCATCCCCGGCAGCACATACTCCCCCTGCACCTCGTACCGGCTGTTTGCCTGCTCCAGCACCGACCGTTCCAGAGTCACCTGCCAAAGCACATGCACATACATGCACACACAATGGGTCAGATGCACAGGTCATGCACACAGATTCACAATGAGTCAGATTCACAGGTCATGCAACAAGCGCAAAGGACAGCACAGCATAGCACTCTGCTTCCCCTCCCCTTCTCCCATCCTCACCACGTCGCCGGTCCAGCGGAAGGCAGCATGCAGGGCGTCACAGAGCATGCCGCTGAACCGCGGCCGCCGCACTGCCAGGGAGCCGTGGCCGCGGCGCTTGGCGAAGTTGAGGCGCACGGCAGCACGCTCCACGAGGCCGCGCAGCGACGCCAGCTCCAACTCGTCCAGCGGCAGCGCCCTCACCTCCAGCGCTGCTGTTGCCCCCACGCGCACATGCCCCTCCACACTCATCTGCCCCCGCTGCACCCTCACCGCCCCCCCCGCTACACCCCCTACACCGCCGCCCGTGCTGCCTGCTGCTGGCACCGCTGCTCCGACATCGAAGAGAGGGAAGGCCGCCTCGGAGGCCTGCTCCTGTGGCATGTAGGACGACGAGGCATGTGGGATTGTAGGGACAGGTGGCAGCACGCCATTGGCTGAGAGCTGCAGCATGAGCTGCTCATCGCCGCGGCCCACAGTGTGCAGGTTGAAGCCATGGGGACTGACAGCCACGCCGCCTGACAGGTTGGCCCCCAGCAGCAGCTGGTTCAGCTTGAGCCCCTGAATGAGCACGCTCCCCTCCAGCCCTGGCAGCCCCGCCTCTGCCTCCTGCCTCGCGCCTTCACCCCCTCCAGCCTCGTCCAACACCCCTGGATGCACCTCACTGCCCCATGGCACGCGCGCAGAGAGCTTCAAGCGCCCCGACAGCCGCAGGTGCCGCAGAGAGGGCTGGGGGGGCGGCACGGGCACGGGGGCGGCGGGCAGCAGAGCGAGGGCGTCGAAGGCCCTCAGGCGCGCCTCAGCCTCCACACGCTCCACACGCGGGCGCGGGGGCAACGGGGGCAGCTCCCTTGACAGCACCGGCCATGGGCGAGCGGCACCACGGGGAGGGCGCGGGGGGGTGGGGCAGGGGGGAGGGGCGGAGAGGGAGGCGGAGAGGAGGAGGTCGAGGGCGTGCGCGTGGGTGGCGGCGTGCGCTGTGTCCCTCGTGAGCGCCACCGACCCCCTCATCCCCTCCAACGGACCCCTCGCCTGCGGTGCCTTCCATGCCGCCTCCACCGTGCTGTTGTTATGGCGTGGGGTGGGGTGGGGAGAGAGAATGGGTTGGACGAAGGGAGACTGACGAGAACGGGTGTGCAATGACAGTGGGAAAACACAGAGAAAAAAATGAGCGAATGCGCAGGCGGTTGAGAAACCACATACCGGCCCAAGAGAGATTACGGCAAAGCAGGGTAGAGGGAGGCAGAGGGGGGTAGAGGAGGGCATACGGGGATAGGAGGGAGCCTCTGAAGGCGGCTTCGCCTGAAGCGAGGCCGAGCAGCGAGGGCGGTGCAGCAGTGGCGGGCGGCAGGTAGAAGGTGAGCAGACGGTCCAGAGATACCCCCGCCGCCCAGCAGTCCACACTCACTGCCGATGGATCCGCCTCTGCCTGGTGCAAACCACGGCGGGACGAGCGAAGAGAGATATGAGGGGGAGGGGTGGGAACGGGCAAGCAGGTGTGGGTGGACAGTGCTTGGCCCTGATGGCAAGACAGATTCAGGCAAGACAGTTAATCACCCACATTCGCACTGACACACCCCACTCACCTGGGGACACACCCCACTCACCTGGGGACACACCCACAGCGTGCCCGCCCCTCGAATCTCCCCCCCTCCCACCGGCACCGCCCGCACCCCATGCAGCTCCGCTACCTGGTGTTGGGTGGGAAGAAATGGGAAGAGGGGGCAAGAGAAGGGAAAGGGGAAGGGGGAAGGGGAATGGTGGAAAAGATGGGATGCGCACATGGTGGTCGTGATGAATGAAAGGGTGTTGCTTGCCAGCATGGTCTCCCTTATGACTCAACACCCAGCCATGTATCACATGCAGCATGCGCATTGCACCCATGCCCCTGGCACCACTGACGCAGTCGTCGGTGTTGAACGTGAAGTTGGCCGTGGCAGCCGTGACGGGCACGCGGTCATACGCCCCCACCGCCCCCTCCCCTCGCCACGCCTCCACCGCCCCCGCTGCATCCGACCCCGCCACCGCAGCAACAGCTGCATCCACGTCAGCAGGCTCTGCTGCCAGCTCAGCAGTGCCTTCAAAGATCGGCGCATCGAGAGGCCCTCGGCAGAAGAGCAGTCCTTGCAGGCTCCCTGCCAGCTGGCAGAAGGTGATTGGAGAGAGAGGGTTGGTGGTGCTAGTGTGAGAACAAGAGCAAATGGACTGCGTGCTTCTTGAGGTTGTTATTAAAGCATTTTAGAAGAGGAATGTCGATTACAAAAAGAGATGGTGCACACATGTACACACACACACATACACTCACACTCACACACACACACACACACACACACATACACACACACACACACACACACACACACACACACACACACACACACACATGCATCACATACAGGGTATGGCAGGGGCTTGGCGTTGAGCGTCTTCATCAGCAGATTTGCCTCCACCGGTTGAACCTGCGCTGTGATGCGGTACTGCCCCCCGGCGCCCTGGTTGAGGTCCATGTCCCCCGACGCCCTCAGTGGCACGTGCCCGTACCGCCCCTCCACCCCGTGCAGGAACAGGCGTTGCCCCTCCAGCACCACCGCTCCGCTCACTCCCTGCTCGCCCGGGGAAGCAGGGGGGAGCAGAGGCGGAGAGGGGATGACACGGCAGAGAGAGGCCGCAGCAGAGGAACATGGGAAACGCTCAGGCGATGAAGTATAGCGTGAGTGTGTGCATGGTGCGAGTGTGTGTATGGTGTGAGTGTGTGAATGGTGTGAGTGTGTGCATGGTGTGAGTGTGTGTCAACGGCAGCCTTACAGTGAACGCACAGGGGGACTCCCATATTTGGAAGGCAAGGTCTGTGATGTCCACCCTGCCCTTGAAGTTGGGGAACGAATCCCCCGCCCCCATCCACAGCTGCACCTGCTCTCTCTCCACCACAACCCCCACGCCCTCCAACCACACACCGCAGGTGCGCTCATGCATGCCCCCCCGGACACGAATGGCAGCACGACAGGGAGTGAGCTCACGGGCATGTTGGCTTGCAACAAGCGAGATAAGAGATTGAAAGGTGCTGGGGTGTGCTGCAAAAGAGCGAGGTCTCTAGCAGTGACCAGCAGTGAGTTTATGAATGCCAGTTTATGAATGCCAGTTTATGAATGCCAGTTTATGAATGCCAGTTTATGAATGCCAGTTTATGAATGCCAGTTTATGAATGCCAGTTTATGAATGCCAGTTTATGAATGCCAGTTTATGAATGCCAGTTTATGAATGCCAGTACATGAATGCCAGTACATGAATGCCAGTACATGAATGCCAGTTTATGAATGCCAGTTTATGAATGCCAGTTTATGAATGCCAGTTTATGAATGCCAGTTTATGAATGCCAGTTTATGAATGCCAGTTTATGAATGCCAGTTTATGAATGCCAGTTTATGAATGCCAGTTTATGAATGCCAGTTTATGAATGCCAGTTTATGAATGCCAGTTTATGAATGCCAGTTTATGAATGCCAGTTTATGAATGCCAGTACATGAATGCCAGTACATGAATGCCAGTTTATGAATGCCAGTTTATGAATGCCAGTTTATGAATGCCAGTAAATGAATGCCAGTTTATGAATGCCAGTTTATGAATGCCAGTTTATGAATGCCAGTTTATGAATGCCAGTTTATGAATGCCAGTTTATGAATGCCAGTTTATGAATGCCAGTTTATGAATGCCAGTTTATGAATGCCAGTTTATGAATGCCAGTTTATGAATGCCAAAATGTGAAGCAATGGAGAGAGCATAGGCACTGACCTGCCCATCTGCCCTCCCGCCGTACCAATCGAATGGGATCTCCAGCAACCGCTCCATCACCTGCCGTCCACAACCATGGCCATGCGCATGGGGCATGCACATGGGGATGGGGAAGGGCAAAACTGTGACACGAGAGACATGAGACGTAGGGAAGTGACAGCAGCAATTACAAAAGGACTATGGGAAGCATTGAACACGGAGCATATGCACCTGTTGCGTACATGCGTACATGGCGAGCCTGGCAAGCATAACACGCGTGGCACGTGAAATGAAACATGGCACTTGGAACATGACTGGCTGCTGGGCATGGCAGGTGCAGGTGAGCACATGCAGCAACGCAGATGCGCACGCACAGGTGCAAAGAGGTTGTGTGCGGTGACAGTGACAGCCCACTCGTGCTTGTCCTCGTCCACATCCACTGACACTCTCAGCAGCCCGCCTCCCCCCTCGCCTGCTCCCCCCTCTGCTCCCCCTTCCGCCTCCTTCCGCCCTGCAGCTGCACCGCCAGGCATGTGAAAAGGCGTGGAGAAGCGCTTCCCCTTGCCGCTGCTGCCGGGGGGTTGAGGAGACGACGATGAGGAGGATGAAGAGGCGGTGGCGGTGGGGGAAGGGGTGGTGGGCGAGGGGGCAGGCTGGAAGTTGCGGGAGGGGCGGAGGGAGCCGTGAGCGTCGACCTTGATGCGCTTGTAGGAGTGGGGCAGCGCGGGGAAGGTCACATGCGCATCGATGTGCTCCACCACCCTGCCATGCATGCATGCACACACACACGAGGCATGGTGTGCCAGTCAATACACATGCATGCGTGTAGGTGTGTGTTGTGCACAGAAAGGGCACTCACGCATGTGGTACACACACGAGGGTCACACACTGGGACACATGCACATGAGTGAGCAGCAGCATGATAGAGGAGCACATCTCCCCATCACCCCTCACCAGTCGCTCCTAACCACATGTCATCTCACCGCGCCCCTAACCACATGTCATCTCACCGCGGCTCCTGGTCTCCATAAGCGAGGAGCATGAGGGTGCCGCCATGCACCCTCACCCCCTCCATGCACGGCACCAACCGTCCCCCACCTCCCCCTGCTGCCTTCTCGCCCTGCCTCCCTCCACCTGCCCCCTCTTCACCCGCCACTGCTGCTGTTTGTGGTGCTGCAGCCCTCTCCCCAGCTTCACGAGCACCCCTGCCCGTACTGCCATGCGTGCCCTTCTCCCCCACCTCGCTGCCATCCCCTCTCCCCCCCTGCGCCTCTGCCCCCCCTCGCCCATATGCTGGGTGCAGCTTGCGCAGTGCCCACTCACGCGCACACACAGGCGCGGGCAACCCTGCCTTTGACATGCGTGCTGGCGATGGCAGGGGCTGTGGGGAGGGAGGGGGACGGAACGGAGAAAGCAGGAATTGGGGAGGGATAGGGGATGGGTTGAATACGGGATGGGCGGTGTGAGGGATGGCAGCGATCGGGGGGCCTTACCTCAGCAGGGATGGCACTCTGAGGTGCTCGCTCCACCTGTACCGCCATCTCTGCCTGCTGCTGCCTCTGCTCCTGCTGCCACTGTTGCAAGTCCGCCACGCTCACTTGTGACGGTGCCTGCCCGCTGTGTTGCTGTGCCTGCGCCTGCTGCTGCTGCGCGGGGGAAGGAAGGCCAGCAGAAAGAGGAAGGGCCGTGGCACGGCCAGTGGCAGCATCAGCGGTGAATGGGGCAAGCCCCCTGTCTGTAGCCTCCTCCCTCCTTGCTGCTCCGCCGCACGCCCTTTCTTCCTCCACCACCTCTCTCGTTCCGCTGCTCCCCCGCATCCCCCCCTCTTGTTCCACGCCCACTCCTATTCTCTCGCCCTCACCCCCCACCTGCCCTGCCACCTGCCCCTCCACGTGCCCTCCCCCCACATGGGCGGCCATGCGCTGGCGGATGGCGAGCGCCAGAGCATCTCTCAGCGCCGACTCGCTGCCCTCCCCCTCGCCTGCACCCCTGCTGCCCTCGGCCTCCCTCACTCCGCCTGCTGCTGACGATGCAACCACGCTTCTTGCTTCACTTTTTCTACCTTCACTCTCTCTTCCACCAACTGCTGCAACTGTCCCTTCCGTGCTCATGCTACCATCTCCAACCCTCCTTAAAAGACCATCACTATTCACTCCCACACTCACATCCCCACTCTCCCTGTGCCCCGACCACCCCTCACCGCCCGCCATGTGACCTTCCTGCCCCTTGCCACTCTCACGTGCCATCCTCTCCCCTCCCACCATCACATCACCACTCCATCCCCGGCCCCCACCCCCTTCGCTCCCACTCCCCCCACTGTGCTGTGCAGGCATTGGGGCGGGGGCAGGGGGCGGGCGTGGGGGGGAATGAGGTGGGGCGGCAGGGAGGAGAGGTGGGCCAGGGCTGCCGACGCGGACAGGGAGAGCAGCTGCTCCTGAGCAGAGAGAGGGGGCGCGGGGGGTGCAGCGGGCATTGAGGGCGGGCCACTGGGGGCGGGAGCAGTGGCGGAGAGGGGGTGCTGGTCGTACCCTTGCCACCCCAGCGCCTCCACTGCTGCTCGCAGCACGTTGCTCACTGCCCTCTCCGCCGCCCGCTGCTGCTCCTCCACCCACTCCCACTCGACCCTCCGCCCACCCCCACCCACCTGCGTGCCCCCAACTACTCTCCCTTCCCCTTTGGCATCCCCCCCACCCTCCCCTCCCCTCCCCCCCAAACCCTGCGCACCCCCCTCCCCTCGGTACTCAAGCTGTGCCCCTCGCAGCGCAAGCCTGTCCCTCTCCTCCGCTGCTGCCACCGAGGCTGCGTCCCGAGCCTGGCGTTGCAGGGAGGTTCGGGTAGAGAGAGGCGGGATGGAGGAGGAGAGGGAGTCGGGGGCGTCCATGTCTGCGGGGATGCCGAGCCACGTCCAGTCGGGCTGCTGCGCCACCAGCACTGTGGCGCGCTGCACCTGCGCCCCCACCACCACCCGCCCCTGCGCCACCGACGCCACCGGGTGCAGCTGCACCCACACACGGCAGGGAGGTAGATAGGGAGAGAGAAGGGAGAAGGGAAGGAGGGGCAGCGGGGGTAGATTGAGGGGCAGAGGCGTCTGTACGGATGTATGTGTGCATGCAATGTGAGTTGTGCGGACACACATGCACACACATGCTGTGTGCAGCACTGTGGCAGTGCAGCACTCACCCGCACTTGCACGGCATCTGCATGGGCGCACGAGAACTCAGAGGCAGCAGGGCCGATGGACACGGGTCCCACGCTCACAGCCCACGGCAGCAGCTGCTGCACGCGCCCCACTGCCACCTGCCTGCCCGCCTGTGCACTCACAGCCGCCTCCACCACGGGCAGCACGCGCGCCTGCACGTACTGCCGCGCCCTCTGCTGCGCGTACGCCCCCCCGCCCCACAGCAGCGCCGCTGCCAGCGCCCACGCCACCCGCCGCCACCCAACGCCCCGCTCGCGCCGCCGCCGCCGCCTCGTCGCCGCCAGGGGCGGGGTGGGGGTGGGGGGCGCTGCAGCCGCGGGGGATGGGGGGGCGGGGGATTGGGGGGCGGGGGACGCTGCGGCTCCACGGCGGGACGGGTCAGATGCAGCAGGGACCCTTGGGGAGCGGGAAGGGGGGCCGGGGGAGGATTGGCGCGGAGGGGGCGGGGTGGGCGGAAGGGCAGGGGAAGCGCTTCCATTAAGGCTTTCTGGTGGCGGGGACGGCTTGCTTCCGCCGCTGCCACTAGACCTGCCTGACCTTCCGCCACCGCCGCTGCCGCCTCCATTATTACCGCCCCCGCCAGTACTGTTTCCGCCGTCGGTGGGGCCCCCACCGCCTCCGCCACTGTCAGCGCCACCAGCGCCGCCAGAACTGCCAGCCCCCGCGCCAGCCGCCGGCCCGTCTGCGCTGCTGTCGCCGCCCCGCTTCACCCTCCCGCACACCACGCGCCCTCCGCCCCTGCGCCCTCCGCCGCGGCCGTTGGGCGCAACGGCGGGGCGCGGAAGGAGGAGCGCGGAATGGCGGGTGAAGGGGGAGGGCGCGAGTGGTGGAGTTGAGGTGCGCGCGGGAAGTGGGCGCGCGCTGGAGGAGCCTGAAAGCCACGCGCTGCTGGCGCTGCTGAGACGGGCGGCGGAGGAGGCGGGGAAGGGGGCGAGTGACGCACCGCTCGGCATGCGGCGCGGTGAAAGCGCCCCTAAACGGTTTAATCGGCGACTGGACTCTACGGGTCCAATTGTGCACCCCGCGCTTGCGTGGGCCGTGGAGGACGCGCTGGCGGACACGCGCGGAAGGGAGGGGGAAGAAGGAGGGCGCAAGAGGGGCGCGGGGCGAGCAGGCAGCGTGGGCTGGCGGAGAAGAGGCGCCGCATGGGAGGCGCGGGGCGGCAGCGCGGCATGTGAGGGAGCGAGGACAGGGGCGCGCTGGGGTGGTGGGAGAGCGAATGGGAGCGCGGCGGGCATAGTGGTGACATGCGGGCGCGCGAGGTGCGACGCGGCACGGTGGAGAGCGTGATCAGGTCCGCCTCACTGCCCCGTGTGTCCTTGGATTACAGGGCAATCAACTGAAGCTGTATTCAGATATCCCCGCTTGGAAGCCATGTCTGCATGTATCCGTACGCTTTATCGGCAATCAACCAAAGGTCCTAGTTGCACAGATTACTATGATTAGTGGGGTGGGTGGGCAACCAGGGGACCAGTTTGCAAGCAAAGCATGGCAAAACTGGAAGAATCTGCAATTCATTCAAGCCTTTCAGATACAAAACAAACCTATGAAAAGAATACCGTAGTTGTTTTATCAGGAACCACCCAAGCACACCGGGTGTCCAAGCTCTAAGTGGTGCTTCTCTTTCACTACAAGCGCCGGCAGATTGGCCGAGGGAAAGGAAGTGCCCAAAAGTTTTGCCGGCGCAACCATCAGGCCCTGAATTGCATTGCACGCACGGCCTCATGAGTCATGGCGCAACAAGCCAGGAGACCCTGATGCGGTGCGCTGTGGTGCGATGTGGTGCGGTCAGTCCCAGGCGAGGGCGAGCAGGGAGTTGGCAAGGCCGGCATCGGCGATGGTGGTGGGCGAGGAGAGGTCGAGCGGAGAGGAGCCGGGCAGCGCCTGTGACAGACGGAAGGGCCTCCCCGCTGCCGCCTCTGGCACCTGCTGCCTACACCACGCCCTCAGCAGCTGGGGGGGTGGGGAGTGGGGCGAGGGAGAACAAGGGAGTGAGTGGGAGAGCAAGGGGACAGGCATGGCAGGAAGGTGATGTGGGACAGTGCAGTGGAATGGGATGGGTGGCAGGCAGGTTGTGTTAAACAATGCGAGCAGCACCTGGAGAGAGTGCGAGGAGAGGAACCGCCGCTGCAATCGAGTGCCATCCGGGCAGCGAATGGCGATGCGACAGCTGGCAGGAGTGCCCACTGCAGGCTCCTCTGGTAACTCAACCTCCTCCTCTGCTGCCCCTCCTGCCAACGCCCCCTGCTGCTCCTGCTCCCCTTCTGCTGCATGCAAGGTATCATCCCTGCCTGCCCCTACGGCCCCACCCTGCTCCCTCCCATCTGCCTCGCCTCTCCGTCCCTCTGTATCCCCCCCCACTTCCTCTCTGTGCCCCTCCAGAGAAGCTGCCAGCGCCAGGCGCAGCTGCTCCTCCTCGTCCTCGTCACCGCTCCCCACAGTCCCCGCGCCCTCTGCTTCCCCCTCCCCTCCCGTGGGCACGTCACGCAGCTTCTTGGGCGGCCGCACCTCCCCGCCCGCCCCGGGTGCGCCCCCAACGGGGCCACGGTCGATGAACGGCATCAAGTCCTGCCGCCCGTGCGCACGCACACGCACACACACATGCACGCACGCACGCACGCACGCACGCACGCACGCATGCAGGCAGAAAGACACGCACACAGGCAAAAACACAGGCACAAACACAGGCAGACGTGCAGGCAGGCAAAGTGCAGAGAAGGGTTCCGCAAGACAGGTGAGGAGGAATCTGAGGGAGGGTATGAGGAGCAGAGAGGCAGGGTCGTGGCCAGGCAATGCAAAGCCAGCACCCTCACCTCTTCTCTCCCCCCCCCGAACCCCGTTCGTCCCACACTCTCCCCTCCCCCTCCCCCACCTGGAGCAGCTGGTCAGCAGAGAGCGCGCCCTGCCAGCAGCGCTTGCGCTGGCCCGTGGAGGGGTGCAGCACCATCACCACCGGCAGCGCCTCCACCCCGTAGTACCCACACACCTTCGCCCCCTCCGCTGCCGCCGCGTCCACCTGCCTCGCCTCCCTCACCCACACGCAACACGCAAATAGAGGGCGGACGGCGCATGGGCATTACAGGCAGCAGAGGCCAGTCAGTGAGGGGTGGGCACGGTATGGTGGTGTGGTAAGACGGGCGAGGTGAGGCAAGTGGTGAATGTGAGTGCCGTGAGAGGGGACGGGCGAATCATGTGCCCCTCACACAATGACCTGGCAGAAGCAACTGCCATGAGCACATGGGAAATGCACCACATCACAAGGAGGCACGGGAGGAGGAGCAGGAAGGGGAGAGGGAGCACCTGCCAGAGGAGGAAGTAGGTGGAGATGGTCTCCTTGACAGCTGGCACGGCCCACACGTCCCGGTTCAGCATGTGTGAGGCAAACTCCCCCGTCGACTGCACGTTCACCAACAGCCACTTGCCCTCCGCCCCCGCCCGCTGCTTCGCCTGCACCCTCGCATCGCATTCATCCAGACATCCATGCACAGCAATGGGCAGGCGCAACACCAGTGGGCACAGCGTTTAACATAGTGCTGTGGGACGCGTGGGCGCATGGGGGCAGGCATGTGGACGCATGGGGCAGGCATGTGGACGCATGGGGCAGGCATGTGGACGCATGGGGCAGGCATGTGGACGCATGGGGCAGGCATGTGGACGCATGGGGCAGGCATGTGGACGCATGGGGCAGGCATGTGGACGCATGGGGCATGCAAGTGCCTCGTGGACCCATCCCCCTGCCCACCTGGTCGAAGGAGCCAGCAAAGAGGATGTCATAGGGCGGCTCAAACAGCGATGCCAGCGATGCCTGCCGTGCTGCCACCCCCTCGCCGCCCTGCTGCCCCTCTCCCCGCGCCCGCGCCCTCGTGCCCGCCTCACTGCCAAAGTCCCGAAACCCATCCACCACCACCGGCGCTGTGGGCCCGCCAGACGCCCTCCCGCCGGCGCTGGGGGGCGGACGGCCAGCGGCGAGGGGCGAGGGGGGAGAGGAGAGGGGGAGGGGGGAGGGGTTGAGGGGTGTGCAGGATGGGATGGATGAGGAGGCAGTGCAGGATGGGATGGATGAGGAGGCAGTGCAGGATGTGATGGATGAGGAGGCAGTGCAGGATGTGATGGATGAGGAGGCAGTGCAGGATGGGATGGATGAGGAGGCAGTGCAGGATGTGATGGATGAGGAGGCAGTGCAGGATGGGATGGATGAGGAGGCAGTGCAGGATGTGATGGATGAGGAGGCAGTGCAGGATGTGATGGATGAGGAGGCAGTGCAGGATGGGATGGATGAGGAGGCAGTGCAGGATGTGATGGATGAGGAGGCAGTGCAGGATGGGATGGATGAGGAGGCAGTGCAGGATGTGATGGATGAGGAGGCAGTGCAGGATGGGATGGATGAGGAGGCAGTGCAGGATGTGATGGATGAGGAGGCAGTGCAGGATGTGATGGATGAGGAGGCAGTGCAGGATGTGATGGATGAGGAGGCAGTGCAGGATGTGATGGATGAGGAGGCAGTGCAGGATGTGATGGATGAGGAGGCAGTGCAGGATGGGATGGATGAGGAGGCAGTGCAGGATGTGATGGATGAGGAGGCAGTGCAGGATGGGATGGATGAGGAGGCAGTGCAGGATGTGATGGATGAGGAGGCAGTGCAGGATGGGATGGATGAGGAGGCAGTGCAGGATGGGATGGATGAGGAGGCAGTGCAGGATGGGATGGATGAGGAGGCAGTGCAGGATGTGATGGATGAGGAGGCAGTGCAGGATGGGATGGATGAGGAGGCAGTGCAGGATGTGATGGATGAGGAGGCAGTGCAGGATGGGATGGATGAGGAGGCAGTGCAGGATGTGATGGATGAGGAGGCAGTGCAGGATGTGATGGATGAGGAGGCAGTGCAGGATGGGATGGATGAGGAGGCAGTGCAGGATGTGATGGATGAGGAGGCAGTGCAGGATGGGATGGATGAGGAGGCAGTGCAGGATGTGATGGATGAGGAGGCAGTGCAGGATGGGATGGATGAGGAGGCAGTGCAGGATGTGATGGATGAGGAGGCAGTGCAGGATGTGATGGATGAGGAGGCAGTGCAGGATGTGATGGATGAGGAGGCAGTGCAGGATGTGATGGATGAGGAGGCAGTGCAGGATGTGATGGATGAGGAGGCAGTGCAGGATGGGATGGATGAGGAGGCAGTGCAGGATGTGATGGATGAGGAGGCAGTGCAGGATGGGATGGATGAGGAGGCAGTGCAGGATGTGATGGATGAGGAGGCAGTGCAGGATGGGATGGATGAGGAGGCAGTGCAGGATGTGATGGATGAGGAGGCAGTGCAGGATGTGATGGATGAGGAGGCAGTGCAGGATGGGATGGATGAGGAGGCAGTGCAGGATGTGATGGATGAGGAGGCAGTGCAGGATGGGATGGATGAGGAGGCAGTGCAGGATGTGATGGATGAGGAGGCAGTGCAGGATGGGATGGATGAGGAGGCAGTGCAGGATGTGATGGATGAGGAGGCAGTGCAGGATGTGATGGATGAGGAGGCAGTGCAGGATGTGATGGATGAGGAGGCAGTGCAGGATGTGATGGATGAGGAGGCAGTGCAGGATGTGATGGATGAGGAGGCAGTGCAGGATGGGATGGATGAGGAGGCAGTGCAGGATGTGATGGATGAGGAGGCAGTGCAGGATGTGATGGATGAGGAGGCAGTGCAGGATGGGATGGATGAGGAGGCAGTGCAGGATGTGATGGATGAGGAGGCAGTGCAGGATGGGATGGATGAGGAGGCAGTGCAGGATGTGATGGATGAGGAGGCAGTGCAGGATGGGATGGATGAGGAGGCAGTGCAGGATGTGATGGATGAGGAGGCAGTGCAGGATGTGATGGATGAGGAGGCAGTGCAGGATGTGATGGATGAGGAGGCAGTGCAGGATGTGATGGATGAGGAGGCAGTGCAGGATGTGATGGATGAGGAGGCAGTGCAGGATGTGATGGATGAGGAGGCAGTGCAGGATGTGATGGATGAGGAGGCAGTGCAGGATGTGATGGATGAGGAGGCAGTGCAGGATGGGATGGATGAGGAGGCAGTGCAGGATGTGATGGATGAGGAGGCAGTGCAGGATGTGATGGATGAGGAGGCAGTGCAGGATGGGATGGATGAGGAGGCAGTGCAGGATGTGATGGATGAGGAGGCAGTGCAGGATGTGATGGATGAGGAGGCAGTGCAGGATGTGATGGATGAGGAGGCAGTGCAGGATGTGATGGATGAGGAGGCAGTGCAGGATGGGATGGATGAGGAGGCAGTGCAGGATGTGATGGATGAGGAGGCAGTGCAGGATGTGATGGATGAGGAGGCAGTGCAGGATGGGATGGATGAGGAGGCAGTGCAGGATGTGATGGATGAGGAGGCAGTGCAGGATGGGATGGATGAGGAGGCAGTGCAGGATGTGATGGATGAGGAGGCAGTGCAGGATGGGATGGATGAGGAGGCAGTGCAGGATGTGATGGATGAGGAGGCAGTGCAGGATGTGATGGATGAGGAGGCAGTGCAGGATGTGATGGATGAGGAGGCAGTGCAGGATGTGATGGATGAGGAGGCAGTGCAGGATGTGATGGATGAGGAGGCAGTGCAGGATGGGATGGATGAGGAGGCAGTGCAGGATGTGATGGATGAGGAGGCAGTGCAGGATGTGATGGATGAGGAGGCAGTGCAGGATGGGATGGATGAGGAGGCAGTGCAGGATGTGATGGATGAGGAGGCAGTGCAGGATGGGATGGATGAGGAGGCAGTGCAGGATGTGATGGATGAGGAGGCAGTGCAGGATGGGATGGATGAGGAGGCAGTGCAGGATGTGATGGATGAGGAGGCAGTGCAGGATGTGATGGATGAGGAGGCAGTGCAGGATGTGATGGATGAGGAGGCAGTGCAGGATGTGATGGATGAGGAGGCAGTGCAGGATGTGATGGATGAGGAGGCAGTGCAGGATGTGATGGATGAGGAGGCAGTGCAGGATGTGATGGATGAGGAGGCAGTGCAGGATGTGATGGATGAGGAGGCAGTGCAGGATGGGATGGATGAGGAGGCAGTGCAGGATGTGATGGATGAGGAGGCAGTGCAGGATGTGATGGATGAGGAGGCAGTGCAGGATGGGATGGATGAGGAGGCAGTGCAGGATGTGATGGATGAGGAGGCAGTGCAGGATGTGATGGATGAGGAGGCAGTGCAGGATGTGATGGATGAGGAGGCAGTGCAGGATGTGATGGATGAGGAGGCAGTGCAGGATGTGATGGATGAGGAGGCAGTGCAGGATGTGATGGATGAGGAGGCAGTGCAGGATGTGATGGATGAGGAGGCAGTGCAGGATGTGATGGATGAGGAGGCAGTGCAGGATGGGATGGATGAGGAGGCAGTGCAGGATGTGATGGATGAGGAGGCAGTGCAGGATGTGATGGATGAGGAGGCAGTGCAGGATGTGATGGATGAGGAGGCAGTGCAGGATGGGATGGATGAGGAGGCAGTGCAGGATGTGATGGATGAGGAGGCAGTGCAGGATGTGATGGATGAGGAGGCAGTGCAGGATGGGATGGATGAGGAGGCAGTGCAGGATGTGATGGATGAGGAGGCAGTGCAGGATGTGATGGATGAGGAGGCAGTGCAGGATGTGATGGATGAGGAGGCAGTGCAGGATGGGATGGATGAGGAGGCAGTGCAGGATGGGATGGATGAGGAGGCAGTGCAGGATGTGATGGATGAGGAGGCAGTGCAGGATGTGATGGATGAGGAGGCAGTGCAGGATGTGATGGATGAGGAGGCAGTGCAGGATGTGATGGATGAGGAGGCAGTGCAGGATGTGATGGATGAGGAGGCAGTGCAGGATGTGATGGATGAGGAGGCAGTGCAGGATGGGATGGATGAGGAGGCAGTGCAGGATGTGATGGATGAGGAGGCAGTGCAGGATGGGATGGATGAGGAGGCAGTGCAGGATGTGATGGATGAGGAGGCAGTGCAGGATGGGATGGATGAGGAGGCAGTGCAGGATGTGATGGATGAGGAGGCAGTGCAGGATGTGATGGATGAGGAGGCAGTGCAGGATGTGATGGATGAGGAGGCAGTGCAGGATGTGATGGATGAGGAGGCAGTGCAGGATGTGATGGATGAGGAGGCAGTGCAGGATGTGATGGATGAGGAGGCAGTGCAGGATGTGATGGATGAGGAGGCAGTGCAGGATGTGATGGATGAGGAGGCAGTGCAGGATGGGATGGATGAGGAGGCAGTGCAGGATGTGATGGATGAGGAGGCAGTGCAGGATGTGATGGATGAGGAGGCAGTGCAGGATGGGATGGATGAGGAGGCAGTGCAGGATGTGATGGATGAGGAGGCAGTGCAGGATGTGATGGATGAGGAGGCAGTGCAGGATGGGATGGATGAGGAGGCAGTGCAGGATGTGATGGATGAGGAGGCAGTGCAGGATGTGATGGATGAGGAGGCAGTGCAGGATGGGATGGATGAGGAGGCAGTGCAGGATGTGATGGATGAGGAGGCAGTGCAGGATGTGATGGATGAGGAGGCAGTGCAGGATGGGATGGATGAGGAGGCAGTGCAGGATGTGATGGATGAGGAGGCAGTGCAGGATGGGATGGATGAGGAGGCAGTGCAGGATGTGATGGATGAGGAGGCAGTGCAGGATGGGATGGATGAGGAGGCAGTGCAGGATGTGATGGATGAGGAGGCAGTGCAGGATGTGATGGATGAGGAGGCAGTGCAGGATGTGATGGATGAGGAGGCAGTGCAGGATGTGATGGATGAGGAGGCAGTGCAGGATGTGATGGATGAGGAGGCAGTGCAGGATGGGATGGATGAGGAGGCAGTGCAGGATGTGATGGATGAGGAGGCAGTGCAGGATGTGATGGATGAGGAGGCAGTGCAGGATGGGATGGATGAGGAGGCAGTGCAGGATGTGATGGATGAGGAGGCAGTGCAGGATGGGATGGATGAGGAGGCAGTGCAGGATGTGATGGATGAGGAGGCAGTGCAGGATGGGATGGATGAGGAGGCAGTGCAGGATGTGATGGATGAGGAGGCAGTGCAGGATGTGATGGATGAGGAGGCAGTGCAGGATGTGATGGATGAGGAGGCAGTGCAGGATGTGATGGATGAGGAGGCAGTGCAGGATGTGATGGATGAGGAGGCAGTGCAGGATGTGATGGATGAGGAGGCAGTGCAGGATGTGATGGATGAGGAGGCAGTGCAGGATGTGATGGATGAGGAGGCAGTGCAGGATGGGATGGATGAGGAGGCAGTGCAGGATGTGATGGATGAGGAGGCAGTGCAGGATGTGATGGATGAGGAGGCAGTGCAGGATGGGATGGATGAGGAGGCAGTGCAGGATGTGATGGATGAGGAGGCAGTGCAGGATGTGATGGATGAGGAGGCAGTGCAGGATGTGATGGATGAGGAGGCAGTGCAGGATGTGATGGATGAGGAGGCAGTGCAGGATGTGATGGATGAGGAGGCAGTGCAGGATGTGATGGATGAGGAGGCAGTGCAGGATGTGATGGATGAGGAGGCAGTGCAGGATGTGATGGATGAGGAGGCAGTGCAGGATGGGATGGATGAGGAGGCAGTGCAGGATGTGATGGATGAGGAGGCAGTGCAGGATGTGATGGATGAGGAGGCAGTGCAGGATGTGATGGATGAGGAGGCAGTGCAGGATGGGATGGATGAGGAGGCAGTGCAGGATGTGATGGATGAGGAGGCAGTGCAGGATGTGATGGATGAGGAGGCAGTGCAGGATGGGATGGATGAGGAGGCAGTGCAGGATGTGATGGATGAGGAGGCAGTGCAGGATGTGATGGATGAGGAGGCAGTGCAGGATGTGATGGATGAGGAGGCAGTGCAGGATGGGATGGATGAGGAGGCAGTGCAGGATGGGATGGATGAGGAGGCAGTGCAGGATGTGATGGATGAGGAGGCAGTGCAGGATGTGATGGATGAGGAGGCAGTGCAGGATGTGATGGATGAGGAGGCAGTGCAGGATGTGATGGATGAGGAGGCAGTGCAGGATGTGATGGATGAGGAGGCAGTGCAGGATGTGATGGATGAGGAGGCAGTGCAGGATGTGATGGATGAGGAGGCAGTGCAGGATGTGATGGATGAGGAGGCAGTGCAGGATGTGATGGATGAGGAGGCAGTGCAGGATGTGATGGATGAGGAGGCAGTGCAGGATGGGATGGATGAGGAGGCAGTGCAGGATGTGATGGATGAGGAGGCAGTGCAGGATGTGATGGATGAGGAGGCAGTGCAGGATGGGATGGATGAGGAGGCAGTGCAGGATGTGATGGATGAGGAGGCAGTGCAGGATGTGATGGATGAGGAGGCAGTGCAGGATGTGATGGATGAGGAGGCAGTGCAGGATGGGATGGATGAGGAGGCAGTGCAGGATGTGATGGATGAGGAGGCAGTGCAGGATGGGATGGATGAGGAGGCAGTGCAGGATGTGATGGATGAGGAGGCAGTGCAGGATGTGATGGATGAGGAGGCAGTGCAGGATGTGATGGATGAGGAGGCAGTGCAGGATGGGATGGATGAGGAGGCAGTGCAGGATGTGATGGATGAGGAGGCAGTGCAGGATGTGATGGATGAGGAGGCAGTGCAGGATGTGATGGATGAGGAGGCAGTGCAGGATGTGATGGATGAGGAGGCAGTGCAGGATGGGATGGATGAGGAGGCAGTGCAGGATGTGATGGATGAGGAGGCAGTGCAGGATGTGATGGATGAGGAGGCAGTGCAGGATGTGATGGATGAGGAGGCAGTGCAGGATGTGATGGATGAGGAGGCAGTGCAGGATGTGATGGATGAGGAGGCAGTGCAGGATGTGATGGATGAGGAGGCAGTGCAGGATGTGATGGATGAGGAGGCAGTGCAGGATGTGATGGATGAGGAGGCAGTGCAGGATGTGATGGATGAGGAGGCAGTGCAGGATGGGATGGATGAGGAGGCAGTGCAGGATGTGATGGATGAGGAGGCAGTGCAGGATGTGATGGATGAGGAGGCAGTGCAGGATGTGATGGATGAGGAGGCAGTGCAGGATGTGATGGATGAGGAGGCAGTGCAGGATGTGATGGATGAGGAGGCAGTGCAGGATGTGATGGATGAGGAGGCAGTGCAGGATGTGATGGATGAGGAGGCAGTGCAGGATGTGATGGATGAGGAGGCAGTGCAGGATGTGATGGATGAGGAGGCAGTGCAGGATGTGATGGATGAGGAGGCAGTGCAGGATGTGATGGATGAGGAGGCAGTGCAGGATGTGATGGATGAGGAGGCAGTGCAGGATGGGATGGATGAGGAGGCAGTGCAGGATGGGATGGATGAGGAGGCAGTGCAGGATGGGATGGATGAGGAGGCAGTGCAGGATGGGATGGATGAGGAGGCAGTGCAGGATGGGATGGATGAGGAGGCAGTGCAGGATGTGATGGATGAGGAGGCAGTGCAGGATGGGATGGATGAGGAGGCAGTGCAGGATGGGATGGATGAGGAGGCAGTGCAGGATGGGATGGATGAGGAGGCAGTGCAGGATGGGATGGATGAGGAGGCAGTGCAGGATGTGATGGATGAGGAGGCAGTGCAGGATGTGATGGATGAGGAGGCAGTGCAGGATGTGATGGATGAGGAGGCAGTGCAGGATGTGATGGATGAGGAGGCAGTGCAGGATGGGATGGATGAGGAGGCAGTGCAGGATGGGATGGATGAGGAGGCAGTGCAGGATGGGATGGATGAGGAGGCAGTGCAGGATGTGATGGATGAGGAGGCAGTGCAGGATGTGATGGATGAGGAGGCAGTGCAGGATGGGATGGATGAGGAGGCAGTGCAGGATGGGATGGATGAGGAGGCAGTGCAGGATGGGATGGATGAGGAGGCAGTGCAGGATGGGATGGATGAGGAGGCAGTGCAGGATGTGATGGATGAGGAGGCAGTGCAGGATGTGATGGATGAGGAGGCAGTGCAGGATGTGATGGATGAGGAGGCAGTGCAGGATGTGATGGATGAGGAGGCAGTGCAGGATGGGATGGATGAGGAGGCAGTGCAGGATGGGATGGATGAGGAGGCAGTGCAGGATGGGATGGATGAGGAGGCAGTGCAGGATGTGATGGATGAGGAGGCAGTGCAGGATGTGATGGATGAGGAGGCAGTGCAGGATGTGATGGATGAGGAGGCAGTGCAGGATGTGATGGATGAGGAGGCAGTGCAGGATGTGATGGATGAGGAGGCAGTGCAGGATGGGATGGATGAGGAGGCAGTGCAGGATGGGATGGATGAGGAGGCAGTGCAGGATGGGATGGATGAGGAGGCAGTGCAGGATGGGATGGATGAGGAGGCAGTGCAGGATGGGATGGATGAGGAGGCAGTGCAGGATGTGATGGATGAGGAGGCAGTGCAGGATGTGATGGATGAGGAGGCAGTGCAGGATGTGATGGATGAGGAGGCAGTGCAGGATGTGATGGATGAGGAGGCAGTGCAGGATGGGATGGATGAGGAGGCAGTGCAGGATGGGATGGATGAGGAGGCAGTGCAGGATGGGATGGATGAGGAGGCAGTGCAGGATGTGATGGATGAGGAGGCAGTGCAGGATGGGATGGATGAGGAGGCAGTGCAGGATGTGATGGATGAGGAGGCAGTGCAGGATGTGATGGATGAGGAGGCAGTGCAGGATGTGATGGATGAGGAGGCAGTGCAGGATGTGATGGATGAGGAGGCAGTGCAGGATGGGATGGATGAGGAGGCAGTGCAGGATGTGATGGATGAGGAGGCAGTGCAGGATGGGATGGATGAGGAGGCAGTGCAGGATGGGATGGATGAGGAGGCAGTGCAGGATGTGATGGATGAGGAGGCAGTGCAGGATGTGATGGATGAGGAGGCAGTGCAGGATGTGATGGATGAGGAGGCAGTGCAGGATGTGATGGATGAGGAGGCAGTGCAGGATGTGATGGATGAGGAGGCAGTGCAGGATGTGATGGATGAGGAGGCAGTGCAGGATGTGATGGATGAGGAGGCAGTGCAGGATGTGATGGATGAGGAGGCAGTGCAGGATGTGATGGATGAGGAGGCAGTGCAGGATGGGATGGATGAGGAGGCAGTGCAGGATGTGATGGATGAGGAGGCAGTGCAGGATGTGATGGATGAGGAGGCAGTGCAGGATGTGATGGATGAGGAGGCAGTGCAGGATGTGATGGATGAGGAGGCAGTGCAGGATGTGATGGATGAGGAGGCAGTGCAGGATGGGATGGATGAGGAGGCAGTGCAGGATGGGATGGATGAGGAGGCAGTGCAGGATGGGATGGATGAGGAGGCAGTGCAGGATGGGATGGATGAGGAGGCAGTGCAGGATGTGATGGATGAGGAGGCAGTGCAGGATGTGATGGATGAGGAGGCAGTGCAGGATGTGATGGATGAGGAGGCAGTGCAGGATGGGATGGATGAGGAGGCAGTGCAGGATGGGATGGATGAGGAGGCAGTGCAGGATGGGATGGATGAGGAGGCAGTGCAGGATGGGATGGATGAGGAGGCAGTGCAGGATGGGATGGATGAGGAGGCAGTGCAGGATGTGATGGATGAGGAGGCAGTGCAGGATGTGATGGATGAGGAGGCAGTGCAGGATGTGATGGATGAGGAGGCAGTGCAGGATGTGATGGATGAGGAGGCAGTGCAGGATGGGATGGATGAGGAGGCAGTGCAGGATGGGATGGATGAGGAGGCAGTGCAGGATGGGATGGATGAGGAGGCAGTGCAGGATGTGATGGATGAGGAGGCAGTGCAGGATGGGATGGATGAGGAGGCAGTGCAGGATGGGATGGATGAGGAGGCAGTGCAGGATGGGATGGATGAGGAGGCAGTGCAGGATGTGATGGATGAGGAGGCAGTGCAGGATGGGATGGATGAGGAGGCAGTGCAGGATGGGATGGATGAGGAGGCAGTGCAGGATGGGATGGATGAGGAGGCAGTGCAGGATGGGATGGATGAGGAGGCAGTGCAGGATGTGATGGATGAGGAGGCAGTGCAGGATGTGATGGATGAGGAGGCAGTGCAGGATGTGATGGATGAGGAGGCAGTGCAGGATGTGATGGATGAGGAGGCAGTGCAGGATGTGATGGATGAGGAGGCAGTGCAGGATGGGATGGATGAGGAGGCAGTGCAGGATGGGATGGATGAGGAGGCAGTGCAGGATGGGATGGATGAGGAGGCAGTGCAGGATGTGATGGATGAGGAGGCAGTGCAGGATGTGATGGATGAGGAGGCAGTGCAGGATGGGATGGATGAGGAGGCAGTGCAGGATGTGATGGATGAGGAGGCAGTGCAGGATGGGATGGATGAGGAGGCAGTGCAGGATGTGATGGATGAGGAGGCAGTGCAGGATGGGATGGATGAGGAGGCAGTGCAGGATGTGATGGATGAGGAGGCAGTGCAGGATGTGATGGATGAGGAGGCAGTGCAGGATGGGATGGATGAGGAGGCAGTGCAGGATGTGATGGATGAGGAGGCAGTGCAGGATGGGATGGATGAGGAGGCAGTGCAGGATGGGATGGATGAGGAGGCAGTGCAGGATGGGATGGATGAGGAGGCAGTGCAGGATGTGATGGATGAGGAGGCAGTGCAGGATGGGATGGATGAGGAGGCAGTGCAGGATGGGATGGATGAGGAGGCAGTGCAGGATGGGATGGATGAGGAGGCAGTGCAGGATGGGATGGATGAGGAGGCAGTGCAGGATGTGATGGATGAGGAGGCAGTGCAGGATGTGATGGATGAGGAGGCAGTGCAGGATGTGATGGATGAGGAGGCAGTGCAGGATGTGATGGATGAGGAGGCAGTGCAGGATGTGATGGATGAGGAGGCAGTGCAGGATGTGATGGATGAGGAGGCAGTGCAGGATGTGATGGATGAGGAGGCAGTGCAGGATGGGATGGATGAGGAGGCAGTGCAGGATGTGATGGATGAGGAGGCAGTGCAGGATGTGATGGATGAGGAGGCAGTGCAGGATGGGATGGATGAGGAGGCAGTGCAGGATGGGATGGATGAGGAGGCAGTGCAGGATGTGATGGATGAGGAGGCAGTGCAGGATGGGATGGATGAGGAGGCAGTGCAGGATGGGATGGATGAGGAGGCAGTGCAGGATGGGATGGATGAGGAGGCAGTGCAGGATGGGATGGATGAGGAGGCAGTGCAGGATGGGATGGATGAGGAGGCAGTGCAGGATGGGATGGATGAGGAGGCAGTGCAGGATGTGATGGATGAGGAGGCAGTGCAGGATGGGATGGATGAGGAGGCAGTGCAGGATGTGATGGATGAGGAGGCAGTGCAGGATGTGATGGATGAGGAGGCAGTGCAGGATGGGATGGATGAGGAGGCAGTGCAGGATGGGATGGATGAGGAGGCAGTGCAGGATGGGATGGATGAGGAGGCAGTGCAGGATGGGATGGATGAGGAGGCAGTGCAGGATGTGATGGATGAGGAGGCAGTGCAGGATGTGATGGATGAGGAGGCAGTGCAGGATGGGATGGATGAGGAGGCAGTGCAGGATGGGATGGATGAGGAGGCAGTGCAGGATGGGATGGATGAGGAGGCAGTGCAGGATGGGATGGATGAGGAGGCAGTGCAGGATGTGATGGATGAGGAGGCAGTGCAGGATGTGATGGATGAGGAGGCAGTGCAGGATGTGATGGATGAGGAGGCAGTGCAGGATGGGATGGATGAGGAGGCAGTGCAGGATGGGATGGATGAGGAGGCAGTGCAGGATGTGATGGATGAGGAGGCAGTGCAGGATGGGATGGATGAGGAGGCAGTGCAGGATGGGATGGATGAGGAGGCAGTGCAGGATGGGATGGATGAGGAGGCAGTGCAGGATGTGATGGATGAGGAGGCAGTGCAGGATGGGATGGATGAGGAGGCAGTGCAGGATGGGATGGATGAGGAGGCAGTGCAGGATGGGATGGATGAGGAGGCAGTGCAGGATGGGATGGATGAGGAGGCAGTGCAGGATGTGATGGATGAGGAGGCAGTGCAGGATGTGATGGATGAGGAGGCAGTGCAGGATGTGATGGATGAGGAGGCAGTGCAGGATGTGATGGATGAGGAGGCAGTGCAGGATGTGATGGATGAGGAGGCAGTGCAGGATGGGATGGATGAGGAGGCAGTGCAGGATGGGATGGATGAGGAGGCAGTGCAGGATGTGATGGATGAGGAGGCAGTGCAGGATGGGATGGATGAGGAGGCAGTGCAGGATGGGATGGATGAGGAGGCAGTGCAGGATGTGATGGATGAGGAGGCAGTGCAGGATGTGATGGATGAGGAGGCAGTGCAGGATGTGATGGATGAGGAGGCAGTGCAGGATGGGATGGATGAGGAGGCAGTGCAGGATGGGATGGATGAGGAGGCAGTGCAGGATGGGATGGATGAGGAGGCAGTGCAGGATGGGATGGATGAGGAGGCAGTGCAGGATGTGATGGATGAGGAGGCAGTGCAGGATGTGATGGATGAGGAGGCAGTGCAGGATGTGATGGATGAGGAGGCAGTGCAGGATGGGATGGATGAGGAGGCAGTGCAGGATGTGATGGATGAGGAGGCAGTGCAGGATGGGATGGATGAGGAGGCAGTGCAGGATGTGATGGATGAGGAGGCAGTGCAGGATGTGATGGATGAGGAGGCAGTGCAGGATGGGATGGATGAGGAGGCAGTGCAGGATGGGATGGATGAGGAGGCAGTGCAGGATGGGATGGATGAGGAGGCAGTGCAGGATGGGATGGATGAGGAGGCAGTGCAGGATGTGATGGATGAGGAGGCAGTGCAGGATGTGATGGATGAGGAGGCAGTGCAGGATGTGATGGATGAGGAGGCAGTGCAGGATGGGATGGATGAGGAGGCAGTGCAGGATGGGATGGATGAGGAGGCAGTGCAGGATGGGATGGATGAGGAGGCAGTGCAGGATGTGATGGATGAGGAGGCAGTGCAGGATGTGATGGATGAGGAGGCAGTGCAGGATGTGATGGATGAGGAGGCAGTGCAGGATGGGATGGATGAGGAGGCAGTGCAGGATGGGATGGATGAGGAGGCAGTGCAGGATGTGATGGATGAGGAGGCAGTGCAGGATGGGATGGATGAGGAGGCAGTGCAGGATGTGATGGATGAGGAGGCAGTGCAGGATGTGATGGATGAGGAGGCAGTGCAGGATGTGATGGATGAGGAGGCAGTGCAGGATGGGATGGATGAGGAGGCAGTGCAGGATGGGATGGATGAGGAGGCAGTGCAGGATGTGATGGATGAGGAGGCAGTGCAGGATGTGATGGATGAGGAGGCAGTGCAGGATGTGATGGATGAGGAGGCAGTGCAGGATGGGATGGATGAGGAGGCAGTGCAGGATGGGATGGATGAGGAGGCAGTGCAGGATGTGATGGATGAGGAGGCAGTGCAGGATGGGATGGATGAGGAGGCAGTGCAGGATGTGATGGATGAGGAGGCAGTGCAGGATGTGATGGATGAGGAGGCAGTGCAGGATGGGATGGATGAGGAGGCAGTGCAGGATGTGATGGATGAGGAGGCAGTGCAGGATGTGATGGATGAGGAGGCAGTGCAGGATGTGATGGATGAGGAGGCAGTGCAGGATGGGATGGATGAGGAGGCAGTGCAGGATGGGATGGATGAGGAGGCAGTGCAGGATGTGATGGATGAGGAGGCAGTGCAGGATGTGATGGATGAGGAGGCAGTGCAGGATGTGATGGATGAGGAGGCAGTGCAGGATGGGATGGATGAGGAGGCAGTGCAGGATGGGATGGATGAGGAGGCAGTGCAGGATGTGATGGATGAGGAGGCAGTGCAGGATGTGATGGATGAGGAGGCAGTGCAGGATGTGATGGATGAGGAGGCAGTGCAGGATGGGATGGATGAGGAGGCAGTGCAGGATGGGATGGATGAGGAGGCAGTGCAGGATGGGATGGATGAGGAGGCAGTGCAGGATGGGATGGATGAGGAGGCAGTGCAGGATGGGATGGATGAGGAGGCAGTGCAGGATGTGATGGATGAGGAGGCAGTGCAGGATGTGATGGATGAGGAGGCAGTGCAGGATGTGATGGATGAGGAGGCAGTGCAGGATGGGATGGATGAGGAGGCAGTGCAGGATGTGATGGATGAGGAGGCAGTGCAGGATGGGATGGATGAGGAGGCAGTGCAGGATGGGATGGATGAGGAGGCAGTGCAGGATGGGATGGATGAGGAGGCAGTGCAGGATGGGATGGATGAGGAGGCAGTGCAGGATGTGATGGATGAGGAGGCAGTGCAGGATGGGATGGATGAGGAGGCAGTGCAGGATGTGATGGATGAGGAGGCAGTGCAGGATGTGATGGATGAGGAGGCAGTGCAGGATGTGATGGATGAGGAGGCAGTGCAGGATGTGATGGATGAGGAGGCAGTGCAGGATGGGATGGATGAGGAGGCAGTGCAGGATGTGATGGATGAGGAGGCAGTGCAGGATGTGATGGATGAGGAGGCAGTGCAGGATGGGATGGATGAGGAGGCAGTGCAGGATGGGATGGATGAGGAGGCAGTGCAGGATGTGATGGATGAGGAGGCAGTGCAGGATGGGATGGATGAGGAGGCAGTGCAGGATGTGATGGATGAGGAGGCAGTGCAGGATGTGATGGATGAGGAGGCAGTGCAGGATGTGATGGATGAGGAGGCAGTGCAGGATGGGATGGATGAGGAGGCAGTGCAGGATGTGATGGATGAGGAGGCAGTGCAGGATGGGATGGATGAGGAGGCAGTGCAGGATGTGATGGATGAGGAGGCAGTGCAGGATGGGATGGATGAGGAGGCAGTGCAGGATGTGATGGATGAGGAGGCAGTGCAGGATGTGATGGATGAGGAGGCAGTGCAGGATGTGATGGATGAGGAGGCAGTGCAGGATGTGATGGATGAGGAGGCAGTGCAGGATGGGATGGATGAGGAGGCAGTGCAGGATGTGATGGATGAGGAGGCAGTGCAGGATGTGATGGATGAGGAGGCAGTGCAGGATGTGATGGATGAGGAGGCAGTGCAGGATGGGATGGATGAGGAGGCAGTGCAGGATGGGATGGATGAGGAGGCAGTGCAGGATGGGATGGATGAGGAGGCAGTGCAGGATGGGATGGATGAGGAGGCAGTGCAGGATGTGATGGATGAGGAGGCAGTGCAGGATGTGATGGATGAGGAGGCAGTGCAGGATGTGATGGATGAGGAGGCAGTGCAGGATGGGATGGATGAGGAGGCAGTGCAGGATGTGATGGATGAGGAGGCAGTGCAGGATGTGATGGATGAGGAGGCAGTGCAGGATGGGATGGATGAGGAGGCAGTGCAGGATGTGATGGATGAGGAGGCAGTGCAGGATGGGATGGATGAGGAGGCAGTGCAGGATGGGATGGATGAGGAGGCAGTGCAGGATGTGATGGATGAGGAGGCAGTGCAGGATGTGATGGATGAGGAGGCAGTGCAGGATGGGATGGATGAGGAGGCAGTGCAGGATGGGATGGATGAGGAGGCAGTGCAGGATGTGATGGATGAGGAGGCAGTGCAGGATGTGATGGATGAGGAGGCAGTGCAGGATGTGATGGATGAGGAGGCAGTGCAGGATGTGATGGATGAGGAGGCAGTGCAGGATGGGATGGATGAGGAGGCAGTGCAGGATGTGATGGATGAGGAGGCAGTGCAGGATGTGATGGATGAGGAGGCAGTGCAGGATGGGATGGATGAGGAGGCAGTGCAGGATGGGATGGATGAGGAGGCAGTGCAGGATGTGATGGATGAGGAGGCAGTGCAGGATGGGATGGATGAGGAGGCAGTGCAGGATGTGATGGATGAGGAGGCAGTGCAGGATGTGATGGATGAGGAGGCAGTGCAGGATGTGATGGATGAGGAGGCAGTGCAGGATGTGATGGATGAGGAGGCAGTGCAGGATGTGATGGATGAGGAGGCAGTGCAGGATGGGATGGATGAGGAGGCAGTGCAGGATGGGATGGATGAGGAGGCAGTGCAGGATGTGATGGATGAGGAGGCAGTGCAGGATGGGATGGATGAGGAGGCAGTGCAGGATGGGATGGATGAGGAGGCAGTGCAGGATGTGATGGATGAGGAGGCAGTGCAGGATGTGATGGATGAGGAGGCAGTGCAGGATGTGATGGATGAGGAGGCAGTGCAGGATGGGATGGATGAGGAGGCAGTGCAGGATGGGATGGATGAGGAGGCAGTGCAGGATGGGATGGATGAGGAGGCAGTGCAGGATGGGATGGATGAGGAGGCAGTGCAGGATGTGATGGATGAGGAGGCAGTGCAGGATGTGATGGATGAGGAGGCAGTGCAGGATGTGATGGATGAGGAGGCAGTGCAGGATGGGATGGATGAGGAGGCAGTGCAGGATGTGATGGATGAGGAGGCAGTGCAGGATGGGATGGATGAGGAGGCAGTGCAGGATGTGATGGATGAGGAGGCAGTGCAGGATGTGATGGATGAGGAGGCAGTGCAGGATGGGATGGATGAGGAGGCAGTGCAGGATGGGATGGATGAGGAGGCAGTGCAGGATGGGATGGATGAGGAGGCAGTGCAGGATGGGATGGATGAGGAGGCAGTGCAGGATGTGATGGATGAGGAGGCAGTGCAGGATGTGATGGATGAGGAGGCAGTGCAGGATGTGATGGATGAGGAGGCAGTGCAGGATGGGATGGATGAGGAGGCAGTGCAGGATGGGATGGATGAGGAGGCAGTGCAGGATGGGATGGATGAGGAGGCAGTGCAGGATGTGATGGATGAGGAGGCAGTGCAGGATGTGATGGATGAGGAGGCAGTGCAGGATGTGATGGATGAGGAGGCAGTGCAGGATGGGATGGATGAGGAGGCAGTGCAGGATGGGATGGATGAGGAGGCAGTGCAGGATGTGATGGATGAGGAGGCAGTGCAGGATGGGATGGATGAGGAGGCAGTGCAGGATGTGATGGATGAGGAGGCAGTGCAGGATGTGATGGATGAGGAGGCAGTGCAGGATGTGATGGATGAGGAGGCAGTGCAGGATGGGATGGATGAGGAGGCAGTGCAGGATGTGATGGATGAGGAGGCAGTGCAGGATGTGATGGATGAGGAGGCAGTGCAGGATGGGATGGATGAGGAGGCAGTGCAGGATGTGATGGATGAGGAGGCAGTGCAGGATGGGATGGATGAGGAGGCAGTGCAGGATGTGATGGATGAGGAGGCAGTGCAGGATGTGATGGATGAGGAGGCAGTGCAGGATGTGATGGATGAGGAGGCAGTGCAGGATGTGATGGATGAGGAGGCAGTGCAGGATGGGATGGATGAGGAGGCAGTGCAGGATGTGATGGATGAGGAGGCAGTGCAGGATGGGATGGATGAGGAGGCAGTGCAGGATGGGATGGATGAGGAGGCAGTGCAGGATGTGATGGATGAGGAGGCAGTGCAGGATGGGATGGATGAGGAGGCAGTGCAGGATGTGATGGATGAGGAGGCAGTGCAGGATGTGATGGATGAGGAGGCAGTGCAGGATGTGATGGATGAGGAGGCAGTGCAGGATGTGATGGATGAGGAGGCAGTGCAGGATGGGATGGATGAGGAGGCAGTGCAGGATGTGATGGATGAGGAGGCAGTGCAGGATGTGATGGATGAGGAGGCAGTGCAGGATGTGATGGATGAGGAGGCAGTGCAGGATGGGATGGATGAGGAGGCAGTGCAGGATGGGATGGATGAGGAGGCAGTGCAGGATGGGATGGATGAGGAGGCAGTGCAGGATGTGATGGATGAGGAGGCAGTGCAGGATGTGATGGATGAGGAGGCAGTGCAGGATGGGATGGATGAGGAGGCAGTGCAGGATGGGATGGATGAGGAGGCAGTGCAGGATGGGATGGATGAGGAGGCAGTGCAGGATGGGATGGATGAGGAGGCAGTGCAGGATGTGATGGATGAGGAGGCAGTGCAGGATGTGATGGATGAGGAGGCAGTGCAGGATGGGATGGATGAGGAGGCAGTGCAGGATGTGATGGATGAGGAGGCAGTGCAGGATGTGATGGATGAGGAGGCAGTGCAGGATGTGATGGATGAGGAGGCAGTGCAGGATGGGATGGATGAGGAGGCAGTGCAGGATGTGATGGATGAGGAGGCAGTGCAGGATGGGATGGATGAGGAGGCAGTGCAGGATGTGATGGATGAGGAGGCAGTGCAGGATGTGATGGATGAGGAGGCAGTGCAGGATGTGATGGATGAGGAGGCAGTGCAGGATGTGATGGATGAGGAGGCAGTGCAGGATGTGATGGATGAGGAGGCAGTGCAGGATGTGATGGATGAGGAGGCAGTGCAGGATGGGATGGATGAGGAGGCAGTGCAGGATGTGATGGATGAGGAGGCAGTGCAGGATGGGATGGATGAGGAGGCAGTGCAGGATGTGATGGATGAGGAGGCAGTGCAGGATGGGATGGATGAGGAGGCAGTGCAGGATGTGATGGATGAGGAGGCAGTGCAGGATGGGATGGATGAGGAGGCAGTGCAGGATGTGATGGATGAGGAGGCAGTGCAGGATGGGATGGATGAGGAGGCAGTGCAGGATGTGATGGATGAGGAGGCAGTGCAGGATGGGATGGATGAGGAGGCAGTGCAGGATGGGAACAAGGCGCGACGGCACAGCGTGGAATGGCACAGCACTGCACGGACAGCACCGCACAGCTCAGTGCAGGTGGCGGGAAAAGCGAGCAGGGTGAGAGCAGCGTACGCACCCAGCAGAGGGGCGGTTGAGCGCGTATGCATCGCCATATAGCGCCTCCCGCCTCACTGGCAGCGGCGCCCGCACCACCTCCTCCCCACCCCCCATGCTGCCGCCCATGCTGCCGCCCATGCTGTCGCCCATACCCCCTCCTCCTCCTGCTGCTGCTGGCGGGTGTGGCGGGGACGAGGAGCGCGGCGGGGGAGTGGCGTCACGTGACCTGGCGGATGCAGGGGTGGGCGGATGCACGGGTGGGGGGATGCACGGGTGGGCGGATGCACGGGTGGGGGGATGCACGGGTGGGGGGATGCACGGGTGGGGGGATGCACGGGTGGGGGGATGCACGGGTGGGGGGATGCACGGGTGGGGGGATGCACGGGTGGGGGGATGCAAGAACGGGGAAAAGAAGGGCGGAGGAAACGGAAAAAGAGAAGGTGAAGGGGGACACGTGACACAGGAGGGAGAGTGGTGGTGGGACAAGGATTGGGAAACCTCGGGTGGGCAGAAAAGCAGTACCCACTGCACTCCCAGCACCCACCCCCTACCCGTTGCCTGCACCTCCCGCAGGCCCCACGGCGCTCCCCCCATGCGCGTCAGTCTGCTGCGCGCCTGCGGCCTCCGCGCCCCCCCCGAAGAACAGCTGCACCGCCTCCTCCAGCTGCCAGTTCGTCGCCTGCACGCACGCACTCGCACACAGTCGCACAGAGGCACGCAGCGGTTGAGAGCGGTGCATGGCGAGCGGACACGGAGAGCGACGGGACTCGAGGAGCGCGCAGGCACGCGCGAGGCGGCGGCAACGAAACTGAGTGACGCGAGCACACGCACTGTGCCCGGGGCATGGTGCGTGAGGCAGCACCTGGCGCGGCACGTGGCGCGCGGGGGCCCCGCCCACCTGCAGCATCTGCAGCGCGACGGCGTCGTCGCTGCCCGTGAAGTCGATGAAACTCGCCACCAGCGGACCCACGTCCGGCTCCGCCATGCCGCCCCGCTCCCCCCTCCGCGCCCCCACCGCACCCTGCACCGCGCGATGCAGCGCGCCCTACACTGCGCCCTAAACAACCGCGACCTACACCGCGCTCGAGCTTGCGGATGGCTGAGGCGCGCGAGGAGATTGGCTGGACGGGGTGTGGCGGAGAGGTGGAGGCCGTGCGCTGGATGATGCTACTGCGCGCAGAATGACGACAGCAAGCCTGCACACACATATGCTAGGCTTCATCAGATGCCGCCAATTGTGGGTTGTCTTGTCTTGTTGGACGGAATTCAAGAAATGCGTATGAATCAATCTGTGTATGAATCAATCTGTGTAAGTCTAAATGTGATGAATTCGTAACGAAGCACGCAGATGCGATCTCCACCCGGCCGGAGCAGCTACAAGTGAGGATGAGGAGCAATCCAAGTGGCCTGGCGAATCGGGCTCGCGAGATGTAACTGCTGGTGGCGAAAACAACTTGCAACAAAACCTCGAGAGTTTCGGAGTGTGCTTTTTGGTTGCGGCTGGGCACTGTTTGCGTGGATTGGTGGATCTCTCCTCTCCTCCCCGCCCTCTCCCTCCATCCGCATTCCCCACCCCGCATTCCCCGCTCGCCCTGCCACCTCCACAGCCACGAGCCACGAGTCTCGCGCGGCACTGCGCGCCGCACGCTCCTCCATGCTTCTGCCGCCCACCCCTCGCAGCGCGGCACGAGGCTGACCGTTGCGCGACTTCCGTGGTGCTTTGCGTTCTTCGCAGCACTGCGCGTTCCGCCCCAGTAGTTCCCCCTCCCATGGCTCTCTTAGCGCGCAGACCGCTGTTCCTCGCCTCCCCTTCCCCCTCCCCCACAGCCTCCAACACTCGCATTCCCGCTCCCCGGCCCTCCATCCTCCGCCAACACCGCCTGAGATTGCGGATATGCGTCGCCGCGTCGTCGTCATCGTCGCCTGGCGACCAGAAGGTCGCAGAGCAGGACGAGTCGAGTCTGCCGCCCAAGGAGAGTGAAGTGCTCAGCCTCAAGGTGCGCCCTCCGCCCTGGCTCCGCGCGCGCCGCTGCCGTGGATGCCTCCTCCTCTGTCATGCGTCCGCTCATCGCGCAATTGGCGCGCGGTGCGCCGCATTGCCGATCACGTTACCCAGACGCGATGGCGCACTGTCGTGGCGTGCTCCTTGACCATCTCGCGTCGCCCAATGCGCAGCGCCGCGATCGCGTGGCCCACGGCGCCCAACCCTAATGGCGCGCGGGCCCACGCCCAGAGCAATGCGTGCCGCCGTGCCTGCCGAATCTGCACCTCCCACGCTTACTCCGACCCCCGTTCCCTAGAACCACCGCCTTCCTCCCCAACCGCCTGCCCTCAACCCCCTGCCCTCTCCCGTGCTTCCCTCCATCCCTCCTCTGCCGCCCCGCTCCCCCCACCGTCTTCCGCCCCACTCTGTGTCAACTGCAGCGCGAGTCGGAGCAACCTCCCCAACCGCCCCCTCCGCGCGACACCAGCGCTTCCGACTCCCCTCGTCCGCGGGGTCGTGGTGGCGCGGGCAGGCGGCGGGAGCGCGCGTCCGTGGGGGAGGTGGTGCGGGGCGCCGTGCGCGCAGTGGAGGACGCGCCCGTCGAGACCGTCGGCGCCGCCGCCGCCGCCTCAGGTGCGCATGCTGTGTGTTGAGGTGGGGTCCTCGCAACAGGGCCAGGAGGGCGCACCAATAAACCACCTGAGGGTGCATTGCACTTGCCGCTCTTGCGTGCCGTCAATCGCGCCCGCACATTGCATTCTCAACGCCCACCACCGCACCGCCTCCTGCACTCATCCCACTCTACATTCCCCTTCCACCTCCCTCCTCCCTCCTCCTCTGCCCGCCGTGCGTGGCGAGCGGGCGGCAGGGCTGGCGGTGCTGGGGGTGGTGTTCGCAACGTCGCTGCTGGGGTCGCTGGACTCGGTGCCCTTGGCCCCTGAGTTCATGCAGACCATCGGTGTCGTCTACTGCGCCCTCGTCGCCAGGTGCCCTCCCCTGCCCCTTCCCCTTCCCCTTCCCCTTCCCCTTCCCCTTCCCCTTCCCCTTCCCCTTCCCCTTCCCCTTCCCCTTCCACCTCCCCCTCCCCCTCCACTTCCCCCTCCCTTTCCCCTTACCCCTCGTCTTCCCCTCCCCTTTCCCCTCCCCGTCCCCCTTCCCTTCCACACCGTCACCCTTTTCCTCGATACCCTGTCACAAATCTACCTCCCATCTGCATGTGCCCCGCGCCGTGCCGCCCCCTTCTTCCCACTCTCCCCCCCCATGGGTCCACACCAGGCAGTATTTCACCAAGAGGAAGATCGCAGTGGCGCCCACGCCGCTGACGGCCATCCAGACGCTCTTCCCCAACACCACCGCTGACGCCGATGCCGATGCTGACCCAGACGCCCCTGCCTCCCGCGTTCCCGAGGTCAGAGCCCCATGCTGCTGTGCTGCTGTGCTGTGCTGCTGTGCTGCATGAAGGGGGGGCAGGTGCAGTGAACCGCAAGATACTTCCCCATGAGTTAAACGGGATTCTTACCTGCTCTGTCCAATCCCCACTCTTCTGCTCTCCTCTTCCCCCAGCCGTTTCCCCCACTGTGCCCAATCTCAAGCCCTGCTTTTCCCCCTTTCTCCCCTTTCTCTGCTGCTGGGGCTGGTTGGGGGCGGGCAGGGCGTGGGGTCGGGCGTGCAGGGGCGGCTGAGGGCGCTGGAGGCGGAGAGGGACGTGGCGGTGGCGGCGGCGGGGGAGATGAGGCGCGCGGGGCAGGAGATGGCGCGCGTGGTGGCGGAGAAGGAGGCTCTGGAGGCCGTGGCTCTGCAGCTGGCGGATGAGCGGGACTCCGCCATCGCTGAGGTGCGTGTGAAGCATGCAGGGGAGACATGGGAGGCAGGTGCGTGTATGCACTGTGCATGCCCATACCATGTGCTTCCATGCACTGTGCATGCCCATACCATGTGCTTCCATGCACTGTGCATGCCCATACCATGTGCTTCCATGCACTGTGCATGCCCATACCATGTGCTTCCATGCACTGTGCATGCCCATACCATGTGCTTCCATGCACTGTGCATGCCCATACCATGTGCTTCCATGCACTGTGCATGCCCATACCATGTGCTTCCATGCACTGTGCATCCCCATACCATGTGCTTCCATGCACTGTGCATGCCCAGGAGCTTCTGTCTCACCAATACCCACGCGTTGGCATGGCTTGGCATGGTGGTCATCCATTGACATGGTGTGGAGTGGATGGTGGTGATCCATTGACATGGTGTGGAGTGGATGGTGGTGATCCATTGACATGGTGTGGAGTGGATGGTGGTGATCCATTGACATGGTGTGGAGTGGATGGTGGTCATCCATTGACATGGTGTGGATCGTGGTCATCCATTGACATGGTGTGGATGGTGGTCATCCATTGACATGGTGTGGATCGTGGTCATCCATTGACATGGTGTGGATCGTGGTCATCCATTGACATGGTGTGGATCGTGGTCATCCATTGACATGGTGTGGATCGTGGTCATCTATTGACATGGTGTGGATCGTGGTCATGCATGCATGGGTGCGTGCATGGGGCATGCACCGAGCAGGTGACGGCACTGAAGACAGCAGTGAACGCGATGACGGAGCGCATGAGGGCGATAGAGGCCATGCTGGCATCGGAGGTGCAGCGCCTGCAGGAGCAGAACCTGGCGCTCGAGACCGTCGCCCTGCAGCTGGCTGACGAGCGCGACTCCGCCATCAAACAGGTGCGCTAAGCCATCAAACAGGTGCCCTCCGCCATCAAACAGGTGCGCTCCGCCATCAAACAGGTGCGCTCCGCTGGCCCCCTCCCACCCAACCCCCTCCATCGCCCCTGCATTCTGTTTCACCTCTTCCCATCTCCCCGCTCCCTACGCCGTGCCCCGGCCAGTATCTTGACACCGCTCGCCCTGTGTGCGTGTGCGTTGTATGGTGCATGGTGTGTGGCTCTGTGCGGGCGGTGAGTGCACCAGGCATCGGAGCTGAGGTCGGCGTTTGAGGCGCAGAGGGAGGAGGACAAGCGCGTGTTGGAGATGCTGGCGGCGCAGCTGATAGAGGAGCGCAACGCGGCGGTGAAGGAGGTGCAGGAGCTGAAGCAGGTGGTGGCGGGGCTGGCGGAGGCCACGGGGGCGGGCAGCGGGCTGACGAGCGAGATGGAAGCCTTCATCCGCAGCCGCGTGCGCGCCGTGAGGGCCCAGTTCGTTGACATCTCCAAGCCCTACTCGCAGCAGGTGAGTTGACATCTCCAAGCCCTACTTGCAGCAGGTGAGTGCATGCTTTGTACCGCAGTGCCTGCTAGTCTGTGGAGCACGGGAGCAGGCAGTCACAGGCTCACTCGCACATGCACTCGTCCGAACTGCAAGTGCCACGACCTGTGTGCTTCACACCCCACCTCCACCAACTCTGCATGCTCAACTCATTCCTAATCCACTGTGTCCTCCCTGTTGCATGCATGTACCATGTCTATGCGTGTGCCATGCACCATGGGTGCCATGTGTATGTCGCACAGGAGGAGGCGGTGAATGCGTTTGTGGCGCATCTGGTGGACGAGTTTGGAGCCCCCAGGGAGTGGACGCACCGCTACATCCGCCAGTTCCTCGACGCCGCCTCTGACGGCCACGCCATCGCCCTCAATGGCCCTTCCCCGCCCTCCGACCGCTTCAACTGACCGCCTCCTCCCCTCACTCCTCCGCAGCCCTACACCATTCTGTATTCACCCTTTCTTCAATAAAAGCGCTGCACGCTCGCTCCCTCTTTGTCGGTTGCCTGCTGCTCCTCTTGCTCGTGCTGCCTCGGGTCGTTGATATGTTTTTGGCACGTCGTTGCCCGATGGGCGTGGCGTGCTCATTGCTCACACAGTGGTGCGTGGCATGGCAGTCTGCATGGCGCTCAGTATTAAGAATGCTATTGTTTACACCACATCACGCCATGTGTTGCCACACTCAGCGCTGAATACCCACGTGCACCCAGAGGGGGACAGCTGCTTGACAGCTATCCATTGCTGCTTGGGAGGTGGCTGTGTGGGGCACTGTGCTTCCCATGCCTTTTCTTAAACCAGTGGATGGCAATTTTCAGTTGGCTTGTTTAGTGTCAGACAGTCACCACCAGTAGCAGCAATTTTTGTCCGCATTTATTGAACATGCACTGCTACACGTGCCTGTAGTCAAACAAAACACATTTAGAGCAACCAGTAGTTTCTCCTATTGTTGCTCCAGAAGATGGCGCAGTGTTCTTGGCCACAGCTCTCAGAGGCGCAGCTTTGTCAGGACATGTGAACAGCTGCTTGCACTTGGCTCTCCCTGATTACCGTATTTGCTTTGATTTGGCAGTGAGGGGTCCGCCAGCATGACAGGTCCAGCCAGTAAAAAACTGCCCGCAAAATCTCCCTCACCACGCTCCTCTGCCCCACCTGTCAGCCCTGTCCCTACCGCCCGCCCTCACTCTCTTCTCTCCCCATCTACAAGTGGGTGCGCCTCCTCTGCTTGCCCTCCCTCAAGGGGAATGGCGGAGGCGCTGTGATTTTGGGGCAGGAGGGGGGAGGCATCGAGAGGGATGGCGGAGGCAGAGGAGGGGGCAGAGGCAGGCACGGGGCAGGGAGGAGGGGCGGAGGGGTTGGGGGGAGCAGCGGCGGCAGCAGCGGAGAGTGACGCCACGAGCGCTGCGAGCGATGACTCCTGTGGCTGCCGTGATGATGTCGAGGGTGGGGTGGCACCCGCTGCTGCTGCTGATGGTGCTGCCTCTGTGCTGCTGCTGCGCACGGGTGCGCGGGCAGTGGTAGCAGGGGTGCCTGAAGGGTGCCCTGCATGGGCCTCTGACGGCCGCCTTGGCCTTGTCTGCATCTGCAGTGGGGCAGGTGGGCCATGGCAGGTGGGCCATGGCAGGATGGGTAATGGGGAATGGGGAGAGTGGTGATGAGCAATGCAGAGGGGCGATGGCCAGTCAAGCGAGGGACAATGAGGAAGGGAAGATAAGGTTGCTCATCCATAGTACGCGTGGTAGAGGGAATGTGGCAGTTAAGAGAAAACATAAAGAACGTTGGCAAGGAAGGAAGGATGGCAAGGAGATGACTGACCTTGTTGCCGAACACACTCAGCTGCATGGCTCGCTCCATCAGCTGCCGATCCACCGCCACACGGTCTGCCAGCATGGCAGCCAGCTCACTGCCACGTGGCATCGTCATCTCACTGTCCTCCAGATCACCATCCCCGCCAGCCGCCACAGCCCCACCGCCCCCCATCATGCTGCCCAGCACCCCGCCCAGCCTGCTCCCCGGGTGCCCCCCTGCAGCTCCCCCAGCGCCATGAGCACGAGCATCAGTGCCCGCCCGCCCCCTGAGGCGCGCTGTGATGAAGCCGTCGTCATCGTCGTCGCCATCCGCGCCCTCCTCCAGCTGCCAGCGCAGCAGCGTTGCCGCGTCGTGCGCGGGTGCACTGCGGTGCCCGTGGAAGGCGCTGGTGGGGCGGGGGGGGGGGGGGGGAGGGGCCAAGGGGAGCAGGGGCCATGAATGCATGCTTGTTCAGTGGCAGTTCAAGGAAATCGTGCAGCGACAAACGACAAGGACAGAGGGGGGTGGAGACGGATGGGAAGGGGCAGCATTACCGTGTGGGGGTGCCCTGCAGGGAGTGCTGTGTATGTGGCATGTCAACCACCATCAGCTTGCACGTCGTCACTGTCACATACGACGCCTCCCCCACCCCCCCTGGGCTGGGCTGCGGGGTGAGGTACGCGGGGGCGTGGATGCTCACAATGCGCCCGTCCTCCACGATCACCCCCAGCTCCATCTCCTCTCGGCTGCCCGCGCCCTCCCTGCCGCTCTGCCACGTGCCCGCCTTGTCCCCATCCCTGTCCTTGGAGCTAATGGCGCGCACCAGGCGCTGCCTCCCTTTGGACAGGGTCCTCAACCCGCTGCGCAGCGCCTCACTGCGCGCACGCAGGAACCCCCCGCTGCCGCCCCTGCTGCTGCCGCCCGCCCCGCCCGGCTCCACGCCCTCGCTCCGCACCTTGCGCAGCGCCTGCCCCTCCGCGTCCTTACCCCCCCACGCTGGGTCGCCCCTGCCATCTGTCACGTCCGAGGCAACGGTAGAGAGGGCCACGGACGCGGACGTGCGGTCGTCAAAGCTGCTGCCGTTCATGCTGCCGTTCATGCTGCCGTTCATGCTGCCGTTCATGCTGCCCTCCTCGCCGCTGCTGGGGGGAGCTGCACTCTCCGCTGCCACCCCGCCCGCTGCCGTGGGTGCGGGCGGGGAGAGCGACGCAGCAGCGCCACGTGGCGGAGAAGAGGAGGGGTTGATTTGCGGGCTGCCTGCGGCTGCGGCTGCGCCTTGAGGGCTGCTTGCCGCGCCACCCCCCTCCTCCTCCTCGCCCTGCTCCTCGCCGTCCTCCCCGTCGTTGCCCTCATCCCCATCGTGCCCCTCGCTGCCATCCCCCGGCAGGCGCACGGCGCCCAGCAGCAGCAGCGCCACCTCGGAGGGCGCAAGGTGCACGGGGGAGTGCGGGGCGAGGGTGAGGAGGCGCGCGGACTGGGAGAAGAGCACGCGCAGGTCGTGCATGGAGAGCAGCCCAAACTCCATGGGGCGCAGCACACGCGCCACCTCCAGACAACTCTCCTGCTCAATGCAACGTGCACAGTGGCAGGGCGGTGGGGCAGTTGGCAGGGCATGTGGGTCGGCAGGGCATGTGGGTCGGCAGGGCATGTGGATCGGCAGGGCATGTGGATCGGCAGAGCATGTGGATCGGCAGGGCATGTGGATCGGCAGAGCATGTGGATTGGCAGAGCATGTGGATCGGCAGAGCATGTGGGTCGGCAGGGCATGTGGATCGGCAGGGCATGTGGTTCGGCAGGGCATGTGGATCGGCAGGGCATGTGGATCGGCAGAGCATGTGGATCGGCAGAGCATGTGGGTCGGCAGGGCATGTGGGTCGGCAGGGCATGTGGGTCGGCAGGGCATGTGGGTCGGCAGGGCATGTGGGTCGGCAGGGCATGTGGGTCGGCAGGGCATGTGGGTCGGCAGGGCATGTGGGTCGGCAGGGCATGTGGGTCGGCAGAGCATTTAGAGCTGGCGGTGGGGCAGCGTGGTGTGGCTGCTGACAGCTACCCACCGTGGTTCAACCCCTCAACCCCACCACCCACACAGCCCTCAAACCCTCCTTGCCCCGGCCCCCCTCCCAGCGCACCTTCCAGAGGAAGTCCTCAATGGCGCCGCTGCTACTCTTGGCGGCCATGATTCTCTGTCTATCGATGAAGAAGCAGTGCAGCACGCTGTCTGCCGTCACCGAGTACAGGTGAGCGCACCCCCTCAGCGTCTCATACAGCCCCACGGAGCTGCCGTGTGCAAACAGCGGCGGGATCAGGTGTTGCCCGTGCGCCTCTGCCTCCGCCTCCGCCGCCTTGGACGTCCACTGTCGTTGTTGGGTTGGGGAGGGGGGGTGGGATGTGAGAGAATGAGACGTGTGGGACAAAGGATGTGAGAGAATGGACAGTGGGGACACATGAGAATGGACAGTGGGGACACAAGTTAGAGTCGAATTCAATCCTCTGGCAACGCGAATGATGGATACATGAATACATGCGTGCGTGGGTGGGACGGGGGGGTTACCTTGGCAGTACCGGAGGCGATGAGCCAGACGCCCTGAGCCGCCTGCCCCTCGTGGAAGAGGGACGCCCCGGAGAGTTTGGTGGCCTCTTTGAGCGGCTGCAGCAGCGCCAGGCGGATGTCCGCCGGTAGCGCTCCGATGAGCGGCTGCCTCGCCAGCACCTCCCCCGCCGGCAGCATCGCCACAAACGGCGGGCTGCGCTGCAGCTTCTTCATGTCCGCCTGCTCCCACCGTGGGCGTGGCGAGGGGAGGGGGGGAGATGGGGGAAAGAGGGACCCGCAGCACAGTGAGAGAAGGGTGGGGTGGGGCAGGTGAATGTGGGAGCCCATACATGCTGTGGCATGACATGGCATGGTAAGGCATGACACTGTGTGCGAGGGCACATGGTGGGTGCAAGGGCACATGGTGGGTGCGAGGGCACATGGGGGATGCGAGGGCGAGGAGAGGGCTGACCGTGACAGCGTTGTGCAGCAGCACAACCTCCTTCTGATCCAGCAGCCCTGAGTGGTCGAGATTCTCCACATACCCGTACAGCTCCGCCAGTATCGCCTGCGTCACCTGCTTCGTCTTGATTATCGTCAGCACCTGCCACCGTGCACCGACACACAGGGCACAGTATGTTGCCAGCACAGGTGAGTGGCGCAGGTAGGACTAGGAGGGGGTGCGTGGGCGCAAAGCACACGGAAACATGGCACGGCAAGGCACAGCGACCACATAGCACAGGCAGACTTTTGAGACGTCCCAGATGTTAGCAGAGTGTGCGGCACGTCTCACCTCGGGCACGTTGAGACGCACGTCTTCAAGGAACTTCCTGGCCTCCGTCTCCTCCTCCTCGCTCTCCAATATCACCGCCTCCAGTATGGGACTGTCCTCTGTGCACATGGGGGGATGGAGGGGACACAGAGGCATGGTGAGCATGGGTAGCATGCAGCACCCGTGTGCTCTGAGCACGGCATGCGGTGCACCCATCTCTTGCCAGGCATTTGGCATGAGAAAACTGCCGCACTCAACCACTCGACCACCCAGCATACAGCAAGTAGCACCCAGCACCCAGCACGCACTGAGGAACTCTCG